TCCCAGGAACGTAAACTCATGTTTTAAGGCATTCATCATGCAAAAGCACAAATCATAGACGGCTCTGCCAAGTCTGCCAGAAGAATCCTGTAACCTGAAGAAAAGTGATTCTAATCCATTTAGCTCCATAATCTTGCTGTGACCAGGAGAGCCATTCATGGGAAGGAATTGCCCTGCTGTTTCCAGCTGGTAGGGAGAGCTCTGTCTGGCTGCCTGCAACATCTCTTAATGTTGAGTGAGCAGCAGCAGCGAAAGCGGTCACTGCCTTTCTACTGACTCTTTAGATTAACTGTTTCCATTCTGCTTTGAACAGAAGTAGTTGGTGTTAGAGGGGCCTCGATTTTGGTTTCCTAAAGACAGTACAGTAGTATGCAGGTGTAACACAAACAGGTGATTAGTTGTTTTTGTTCAACATCTTATCTCCACTTTGTCACATCTTCAAAACAAATTGCTAAGCATAAATATTATGAATTAGGAGTAGTACATATTTAGAGAGTTTATATCAGTAACAAAAACTGCCTACATGTTATACTAGGTGTTTCTGATTTAGCATAGATGTGTGCTTCATTTAAAAGTTGAAAATGGGAGTCTACATGGTTTAATATGCTATTTATTACCTATTTATTATGCTTTCTATCTTGACCTTTAGTTTTTCATATATGAAATGTCTTTCATGACATATTGAAATATAACTGAATCTTTCTACAACAATCCAGAGTGATTTAAGTCCAAATTAGTATGCATTTGTCCATGTAGTATATTAAATTAAATATACTACATTGTCTGATTAATGTGTACATTTTATTAATAAAATATATTAAATGATGCATGTAATATGAATTAGATTAGAATAAGAAATTCTATTTTTTCCACTATTTTTATAATATGAAGACTTCAATTCTAATAATTGTATAGAGCACAACTGTAAAAGAAATCGGTTTACAGGAATACTTCAACTCTAGAAAGCTGACACATGAAATCTTAATACTAAAGGGTTAAAGTGGATCTGACACTTTTACTTCAGACATAAAGTACAATAATTCCTGGGACCGGCATCTGTTGCTGTATTTCTGTCTTGAACTATGTTCAAAGGAAATCATTTCCCATTGCAAATCTTAGTAAGGACAAAAACCACCTGTTTCCAAATTCAACTAATTCTCCCTGTATTTCATGACTGGGAGACAAATGAGTATCAGCATTCAAGAAATTGGACTGTGTAGTTTTTCTTTGTGTGTTTAAATTTTGTTAGTTTTTGCTTTTTTTTTTCATTAATCCCTCTGAACCTGTAGTATTTGTGTAGAATTTGTAGTAAATTGATCACGAAAGAGGGTTGTTGAGATTTGGAAAACATCCAGCTTTCTCATTAATTGTTCTTCCTAGAAATGTTTGGTCATGTATCATAAATGAGATAAACAATCATCTGACACTGTAAATGCAAAATGCTAGCTAATTAAGTAGGCCCTTGGTACATGGCATTATTAGTATAAACTAACTTTTCTGGTTTACTGTACAAATCTATAGGTTTATCCTTGTGTTTGAGGGGATATATCAGACTTCAATCACCAAATGTTTGTTGTTGCATTTGATGCTGAACTAAAGAAGGCATGAAAATGTGAATTTAAATCTGCCAGCAAAAGAGTTGTATAACTGTTTCCGTTAGTGTGGCCTTCTCATTTTTTTCCCTCATAAATCTTACTGAAACAGAACGTTCTATTCATTTTGTAGTTCCCTGTTGAAAAAAGAACTATGTGTATTCAAAACTATTTTAATTGTTTTGAGAAATATCTAATGTCTCAGGGCTGAGATTAATCTGAGTATTATAGTAGGTCACAAATTCTTAAGAGTCACATTACTCCCAATGGACACCATTAAACACACGCTATTTATCCAGTAGGACAAGCACGTAACATAAATTAATTTATGAATTCTAATTTCCTTTTGACCTATTTGCTTGTTTTACACAATTTTAATCATTTCCTCTTTCAATTACTGATAGTGAAGTCACTGCTCCCTTGTAAAGAAATCTACATTTTAGTTCCTTTCAATATGTACTGGAAAGACAGAAAGCACTTAAACATCTAGAGAAATTGTACTTTATAAAGATTTATTAATTTAATATATATATATTTAATAGAGTATTTCTGAGTATTTAAGAGGTGGGACTTCTATCTTTAAGGTATGTTTAATTTGCAATTGCTCATTGAAATAATACGTGAATAATAAAGTCTATAAAATGTATTGAATGCATTTGAAAGATAATGTTTAAAGTTGATTTTCCCATTATCTGGGATTAGTGGCAAAAAAACAGTTTGCGGATTGATGTAACTGATCGCTTAATTGTATAAGCAAGGTTCTATGAGGTTTCTCATGGGTTAAGTGATATCACACCATTTGAAACGTTTAAATGAACTAAAGTTCCCTTTTAAGTGGCATAAGCCCTATTACTCAAGTTGCCATTGCCATAATCTATCAAACCTTGGTCAAACCTCCTGACTTGAAGTTCTTTACATTAATTCTCCCAGTATCATAGCAGCCTGCCCTCACCATGCTGAATTACAAGGAACAAGACCACAATATTACAACATCAATCACTTATTAAGTTAGCATTGACTCAGTGCCACCAAGCAGTTGAGCATTTGACAGCAATAAAGAACCAGTATGTGTAACCAATACAGCCTTGTCAAGATAACAACCATCATAGGTCTTAGTGTGCTGGTTCTGTCTTGTTCTGCAAACAATCATGTTCTTTAGTGTTAGGTGAGACTGAAGTAAACTCTACCAAAGTTTTAAAGTTGTAAGTTTGCATGGATGCAGCACTTATGTGTTCATTATGAAAGGCTATCTTCCCCACTGCTTGCAGTTCATGTCTTCATGTCATGTCTACTTGTTCTTTATCTGATATAGCCACTTACGAGAAATTTTTCTATAGAAACAAAATATTTCTGCTCATTTCGACTGTACACTAAATGGTGTTCGTTTTCTAGATGTTACATCCTAGTTTGTATCAATCAGGCTTTGTCTGGCAACCAGAGGTCTTCACAAGCCACGTAATTTCAGCAAGTGGCCAGGCTCCAATGGAAAAGCTGCTAAGATTGTGCTTCCTCTGTGTCTTCCAATCATCCAACTTGATTAACAGCATCTCTGGGGATAGTCCCCCAGCACCTGTTAAAACATTTTCCTTTGCAGGAAAACAAAATATATTGCTAGATTAAAACCAGAGGCCTAGAAGAGCTTTAACTTGAACGTAGCCTCCTTAAAAAGGTCAGAGTACTTGACCTACTAACTCTAAAAGTTTGACAAGAATGTATATGCATGATTTATAAATGCTTTGGACAAACCAGTTACTGCCATTGTATGAATAATGTACCACTAAAGACATCAAATATTTTTGGTCTCTCTGCTGAATGACTTCTTTCGATTTATTACGTGCCAATGAAGATAATTACTTGAGTGTGAAAACCCTTTTTTTGTATGTACAGGTACGTGAAGTAAAACAGGTTCTCATGAAGGGTGTTCTTCGTTTACTTCGGTCAAAACAGGAGAGAGTTGCCAGAGGAATGAAAAAAGAGTTGTATGGCACTTGAGATTGAATGAGGATTACATGACCACCAAAGACGTGGTATTACCACAATACAAAAGGAACATTACCAAAAGAAAGGTAGCACTGGAAATGGTTCTAGCTCTGATTAGTGTGTAGTAATCACCCTCTCTGGAACAAGTTACCCAGTCATGTTCTTCAAGCTGGTTCTCCGAAATCTTCAAGTAATCTTTCTTAGGTTCTTGTGTTCTCCAGAACTGTTTTCACCGTTGTTATTATTATAGTGAAAAGGTCACTACATGTTTTAGTCATTACTATTTCTTTAATTTCATAACTGTAACAGTGTTTTGAAGAAGCTGAAAGACAGTTTTGGCCAATCAGTCCTGACAACACTAGGTGGCACCCATGTGAATTAGGTCTTAGACAATGTGCTGGTTCTGTTTTCAAGCCTTATCACCACTGGATACAGAAACAGTGCACACCAGATTGCAAATCCATTAAATTTGTTTCCTTGTCCTAAGAACATATGAAACACTGCAAGTGAGACGAGCCCAGTTGGCGCTATGAAGTATACGTATTTTTTGGTACCTGATTTGGTCTTAGAATCTCATCCAGCCTCTTGGAACCATTTGGCAAAAAACTCAAATGTCATGTTTCCACATCAGCAATGGTCAATTACTATATCATAACTACCAGGGAGTGTACGAGTATGAGGTTTCCTGCAATATACTCCACCCAAAACAAAGGTTTACAATTTCAAGCAGATTAGGAGGGAATGAGACAGAATAGGAGAAATAGAAGGGTATATGTTATAAGCAGGAAATGAATTTCAACAAGTATAAAAGATATTCTGCACAAAACAGATTTACTCTTGAGTAAGGAAAACAATCGTTTTTATGTTAATTTAGAATGCTGTGAACAATTTTGGTTACCTCAAAGCGCTCAACAACCGTAATTACCATTGTAATCCAGCAGAGGGCGATTCTTTAAAACGAGGCACACCAAAAGACAGTACAATATTATCGAAAAGGCACATCTCGCCATCTAGTGGCTATAATTTATATGAGTATATTTCGCAGAGCTCTTCGAATTCACTGGTGTGAGCCTTTATTACAATGGGTGGTAACACCGGAAGTGTCCCATTGCTTTTGAAATGGTCTTTCGAGAGAGTGTACATTTGTGAAAGATCATAATGGATCACAGCAATGAAGACATGCTGGGTTTGTTTTTTGTGTCTACAGCTCAGGTCTCCCACAGTTAGAAAAAATGAAATCTACCATCATTTTAAATAATAAGCCTGATTCACAGAGACTTAAGTGTTATTCTTCACCCTGACAAGTTCAGGCACAGAACAGGATGTTTCGCTGTCTTGACAGTATTCCATGTGAACTGATTGCACTAGGAAGTTATGGCACCACATGTGCACAAAACATGACTTTCCTGCTTTGTCGTGTCCACGCAGGGTCAACCAGGACCTCTTGGCCAACAGGGATTTCCTGGACCTCCAGGGATCGTCGGCTTTCCTGGTTTGCCCGGTGGTAAAGGAGAAAAGGGGGACCGAGGGACGTCTGGAGTCACCGGACCAAAAGGCGCTATTGTAAATTATTCCCTTCCATTCAAAGATATAAACCAGGGCCGTCTCAAAGTGGGTGGCGAAGGGGCCAGCCCCCCATCCCCAATCCTGCTTCACGCACGCATAAAACTATAAATATATACACGTTTAAATATTTTAATCAAGCGACACACAAAACTCATATTTTAACTCAAGATGAAATCTAAAGGTAGTGGGAGAGCAGGTGATTTATTCGCAACTGAAAGCCTATCCTGCACCTGCACAAGCTACGTCATAGGCCATCGGTTGCCAGCTAAAAATGATTGCAGCGTAACTAAATTAGCTTGGAAAAAAAGTTAGCCGGTGGGAAAATGGTGAGGACAAGCAGAGACAGGGACAAATCTGGAAAATACTACAGTGGGGGCGAGAAAAGAAAAAGGAAGCAGAAGAGGGAGGATGCAAATGTGACCCTTAAAGGGTTTTTTGGAAAGGTTTGTTGTAAAAACCAGGAGCAAAGAAGAAACGGACAGCGGTGGTGATCTCATCGACGACAAGGATACTGGCACTGAGACACCTGAAGGTACCGATAGCATTAGCAACAATGGCGGTTAGGAGTTCTGTTAGGTTCTGTGTGTCTGTTTGCACAGGCCAGTTAGGGAGCTATTTCATCACCTCAACGCTGCTCCCTGCCACCACTACTACACCCATGAACCCCTTCGCCCACCCTTGAGACGGCCCTGCTATAAGCATATACAAAATTGCTCATTTTATCCAGGTCTCAGTATGTGTACTGGTACTACAGAAACAGAGTGATATTTAAATAAAGAGATTTTTAAAAAGGTTTAGATGTGCTGAAAGTATTGAAACACCTAAAGTAGATGCCTAATTGGCTCTGTCAGTTGGCACTCTTGGGTTTGTCTTGGGTGTTGATCCCTATGGCTCTATGAGTCTGGATTGTGCCATTAGCCAGCTGCAGTTGAGTTCCCTGGACCGGCAGTGCACTGGCACAGGCAGGGCTGAGTGGGAACGAGTGCATCAGAATGTTCTCAGCCCACCTCTGCGCTCTGTCTGTGTCTTCACTGAGAGCCTCTTCACTCTTTTGGGAGTCTGCTGTAGATACAGAGGGAAGCATGAAAACTTGTCAGGTGGATGACAAGTGCATCTTTCCCAGGAACGTGTGCAAGGTCCTCGTCCCTTTGTGTGCTGAAACAAGTGGCAAAAAAGCTACTTTTTCTCATTCATTTTTTCCATGCTGGTTGGCGGTTTAAAAGATAATAATTGGAGTGTCCCTTTTTTTTCCCCAAAACCAATATGTCTATTATGACGTAAATGCCATTCAGGAGTAAGTCGAGAGATACCACTTAAAATAAAAGTAATTAAGTCATATCAGTCACATAAATTAAACAAATGAAGTCAAAGCTACATTTCCCTGATTCTGAATTTAAGTCACAAAAACACTGGCCTCGACAAAGTGATTTTCATTTAAAGCATACTAAACCTAAATCCTCCAATAAAAATAGTGTAGCTGATATTGCTTAACTTTTATTTATTGGAAGGGAGCAACTGGGGTGCCTGGATTTCCTGGGTCAGATGGCATTCCTGTAAGTATACTTGGTGCATTTTGTTTATAACATTCACTCTTATTTATTTCTGCACCATCTCCATCACTGTTCATCTTCTGTGCATCCTTAAACTGTTTCTTTTCTTTACTCACTGGTCTCTGGTGATGCTCTTTTTTACACATGTGAAACCTTGGAGACTGTACCATTTCTGATAACCTAGTCCAGTCCCACCTCAAAACCCACCTGTTCAGACTGCAACTTTAGACACCATAATTCCCCAGAGCTCTAAAGCAATATTGCTTTATTGGATTCCTAGTTCTGAGTTCAGTTCTGAATCTCTTTAAAAACAACTCTGCCTTGTAGAACGCTCATACTTTGTACATTTCTCCCCATTCAGTTACTGTTTTGAATGGAACATCGTCTTGGGCCCAAATTGACAGCTGATTTAATTCACAACAATAATAATAATGATGATGATGTGAATAACAGCCATGTCTAAGATTTCTAAAGTCACCTGCTTCACAAATTGTCAAGATTCTGTCGGGGAAAAAAATAATACCTCCTCTTCAACTGATTTTTTTTTCTGCCGCTGTGTGTTGAAGTATATGGTAGCTAAGAGACCTTGTGGCATTTATTTGTTAAGGGTCACCCAGGTCAGGCAGGATCCCGAGGGAAGCCTGGAGCTGATGGGTGCAATGGCACGAGAGGAGACACTGGGTCTCCTGGGCAATCCAGATTCCAGGGCCTGCCTGGTATACAAGTATGTAATAAACACATCTACAGCCTGCCTCTGGTAATCTGAGATTCTTCATAACTGGCTAGTCTCCTTTTCATGCTAAACCTGTAAGGATCTGTGGGACGTATCCATTAAATACCATTCTTGTAAGTTTTATATGTATATTTTTTCTATTTTGTCTTATAGCCATACAATTCATGCCATCTAAGCTAGTTCAAATGCTATCAAAATCTATTCCGAAACATTAAAAACACTAAAAATGTTTTTGAGTCCAACATTTGTACTTTATTTGCCTTTTCTGTACAGTATAACTGCAACAGAAACTGGGAATCTGCTTCTGTTTGTGTTTTTCTTCGATGTAGCGCTGTGACGCCAGGATTTGTGCTTATTTCCACGGTGATAGAGTGTTGATTGCTATTGGACTAACCTGTCTTCTTTCCTCCCGAACTCAGGGTGCTCATGGGTTGAAAGGTCAAAAGGGGGAACCTCTGCTGGTGACGGTGTACATGGAGCGATTCCGGGTAAGAGGTGGAGTTATTAGATCTTTAATGTCCTCAAGGTACTGTAGACTGATGTAAAACGGAAAGCACGCGTTTCATCGAGATACCGCTTCCTTTATTTGTGAATTTCATCTTAGTTATTACAAATGCAAAACGCACGGTCCCAGCTGCAGCAATATATTGTATCGCGACAGCTGGGGTAAGAAAAGGGTCTCATGTCTGTAAGAAACAAAAAATCAATTGGATTAAGAGGAATTTAGGCAAGACATGAAAAACTGAATTTGATCAGAACGTTTAAGAAATTAAAACAGAGTGCCACAGAATTCCATTGTAGCCTTTAGTTTAATGTCTATTTGGACATACTGTACATAACCTCCTATAATACAATACTAGAAGTAAAGTCCTGCGGCAGTAGTTCAAGTTTTAGGAGTTAAGAGAAGGTAACATTTACTGTAGTTCACTGATTAACTACCCGATTCACTACATAATTCTTTTAGGAGCTCATCCATGTACTAACAGACAGCTCTGCTTAGATGTTGAGTTTTGATTCCATCAGTCTGAGAGAAAGAATAACTGAAAAATGTGGTTCATGTTCTAAAAAAAGATTCTTTCTCATTTGGTTAAGGGCGATCCTGGGGAACCAGGTTATACCGGACTTCCGGTGAGTGCTTTTTTTTGACAAAAATTGATTGTACTTCGATACTGGAATTTCAGTCAATATGTATAATAATATCTTTGCTGTCCTTGACAGGGCCAGCAAGGAGCCCCTGGACCTGTGGGCCCACAGGGGTATCCAGGACCTCAAGTGAGTATGTTCTATACAGAATTTAATAATAATAATTCCCTACATTTATATAGAGCTTTTCTGGACAATTTACTTGAAGTTCCAAAGTAATGGGGACTCCCCTTCACCACCACCAATGTATAGCCCTCACCTGGATGATGTGATGGCAGCCAGAGTGTTCCAGGACCCTCACCACAGTGCCGTACAGAGAACAGAGTCATGAAGCAAATTGATAGACGAGGCCATGATTTGTAAGGGCCAGGGGAAATTTGGCCAGGACACATAGTAACATCCCTTTTCAAGAAAGCACATACTCTTTTCAGGAAATGCCCTGAGATTTTTAATGACCACAGAGAGTCAAGACCTCAGTTTTACATTTCATCTGAAGAACGGCACCCTTTTACAGTATAGTGTCCCCCTCACTATACTTGAGCATTAGGACCCACACAGACTGCAGCATGAGCTCCCCCTACTGGCCCCACTAACTCCTCTAGCAGCAACTTTTCCCAGGAGGCCTCCCATCCAGGTACTGACCAGGCTCACACCTGCTGAGCTTCAGTGGGCTGTTAGTTGTGAGTTGCAGGGTGATATATCTGCTGGTGTCCTGGAGGATTATAAACATATCTTGCATAAGACTGAAACAAGATGCTTGTCTGCATGACTTGCTGTACTTAAAGAGAAATGTGTTGTACTAAATGCCTAAAGCCATTGTAAACCTCAGAAAAAGGGTGAATACTGAATAATTTCCCAAACGGGCGAGATGGGTGGCCAGATAACTTCCTCTCTTTTGTAACCTTTCTTATGTGCTACTAATTGAAATTCTCAACACAAGTGAATATGTTTTTCTTTCTTAAATAGCAATTCGGGTCTTTTTCATTTAAGATATAATATGAAATATGAATAAGTTTTAATATTTATTGATTCTCTTGTAAAAATAATTATTTTAAACATTTGGTTAATTTGCATATTCGCCTGTCATTATTATTATTATTATTATTATTATTATTATTATTATTATTATTATTATTAACTGAAAAGTGAACAAAAAACTATTAAGTATTGTTTTGTGATGTCATTAATGTCACTAAGTCTTTCGAACACCATTTTCAAACTCCCAAACAAGATGGCATTTTCAATAGGGGCAGCCAAATTTACTCTATACTGTTAATACAAATCTATACCTTCATACTTTAGTCTATCATTTTATCACTTCATTAGAAACCGTTCGTTTTTTGCTACTAGTATGTAAAATTGCAAGGAAAGAGACGACAAGGAAAGTCAGGTTGCTGCTGTTAATGGTGTTGTTTGACCAGTAGGTGGCACTGTTTCCCCTGAAACAGAATTTCTTAAAATCGGTTTCGTAGTATACTGCCAGGAAATAATAATAACATCACTTTATTAACCCTTTACAATTTCTTGCATTAGGAATAATCTTTTTGCATACCCCGACTTGCTCTCCATGAGACACACAGATAGGGAGAGAACTGTCAGAGCACAGGGTCTGCCATTGTACAGTACCCCTGGAACAGTTAAGGGCTTTGCTCAGGGGCCCAACAGAGTAAGATGCCTCTGCTAGCTGCAGGATTTGAACCAGCAACCTTCTAGCCAAAAGCACAGATCCTTAGCCACAGAGCCACCACTCCGCCCAAGCACTGTACTGTAGGAGGGGAGACATTAAACCAAGGTCCTGCCTGCTTGTTACTTGAAGTCCAGAAGACTAGGGGTGCCAAAACATAAGTCCTGGCTAAATTTAACTGTGGACTAATGCAATCTGGCAAAATCTGTGCAATTTACCAATTTGTTAGAAATCATTTTTGTATTTATTAGTTCATTGTAACAAGCTTTAAAAAAAACTTTCTTTTTTTGCTTATTTTGTACTTCATATCTTAAACTACCTCTCAGAAACTTAAATCTTGCCACTATAAAATAATATTTTATTGAAAAGTATCATGGTTAAATTGATAGAGTGTATCAACAAATCTACTGTATAATCTCACAGGTTATTCCTTAGAATTATTTCAACTTCCATCTTGGCTTAGAGAAAACATATGAGTTCCTGCAACAACTGAAGTGTTTTACTTTCTTCATTGTTGTGTTAATTGGATGAGAGTTCAAATCGCTGTGACTTGTACCAGACATCTCTACGATGTCAATGAAGTCTTCGCAGCATAGAAAACTCTGGTTTTTCACTCTGAGCTAATGCAGAATTGAATTGTGTTTCATTGTCAATGTTCTAATATTCCCAGACATAATCACTTATTTAGTCAGACCAAGTATTTTCTGGGGTATGTAGCTGCTGCAGGTCGTCCATCTTGAGAGGTGCTGCTTTTTCTTCATCTTAGGAAGATCAGTCTTTCACAGAATTAATCCTTTACTGACTTAAACTCTTAGGGGCCACAAGGACCTCCAGGACCACAAGGACCAAAGGTATGACCCCTGCTTTTTAATTCTCCTACAAGACTGTTAATACAAGTATTGGTTTACCTACTGTAAAAGGGCAATGGTTTCATGAGGGACGTGATGACAGAGTGTACCATGTTGACCTGAATTAATAGACTGAAAATAATGTACACAGTTGTAAATTCACAGTTTATGTCTGTATGTTTGAGTAATAAAAGTAATGATAGAAATAAGTGCAAGGAAAAGAGTACCATGTACTTCATTTTTTTTAAAACAAAATGCTAGCAACACAATAAACCATACTTCTCCAGTTCTCAGGATGAAGTTGAAAAATGTGCTTAATTCCCTCTCGTAAGGCTAATGAGACCATTGGTATACATTTACATTTGAATATATACAGTATTATGACTTTAGGTGGTGCAGTGATTAGAATTGGTGCCCTGGAGTTCAATTCCTGGGGTGTTATTTTTGCAGAGTTCATATGAACTCCCTGTGTTTGTGTGGGTTTCCTCTGGGTGCCCCGGTCTCCTCCCACAGTTCAGAGACATACGTGTACAGTATGTTAATTGGCTCCAGGGAAAATTGACCTTACCAGGTGTGAGTGTGCGTGTTTCAGACCATGCTTCCGCTGCTTGCTGGGATAGGCTCTGGCTCCCCTGCAACCCTGTATTGGATAAAGTGGTTAGAAAATGGAGAGATGAATTATGACTATAAAACAGTCCATCACTCAGCTCAGACAGGGGAGAATGATGGACTCCACCATTACATGTTACCTGCGTGATCCAGTGAATGGCATAGATTTACTTGGCTGTTCAGGTTTGTAAGTTTGCAATATATTACCATTTTGAAGCAAACAACTGTCATAGCTTAGTCTTGTCCCTTCCCCAGTCTTGTAGAGTAGTGCAGTTTTATGTTCACGGGAGGGTAATCTGAGATCAACAAAATCATGTCTCTTACCAGCCTGAAGTTCCACCAGTTAAAGGTTTGGAAAGGAAAATAATCTCGGTCCCATTCTCTCTGTGTGAGATACTTTAATGATCTTAACAAATGCCTACAGTTAAAATTGCAAGAAATTATGAGACACATACCTGTATGTATTGTGTAGTTTAAATAAACCTGACTGTACTGTTTGATTTTTTATAGGGTACAATAAATGTCGTGAAGGGACTTAAAGGAGAGCCAGTGAGTACTACCCTTATTACTCTGCCAGCTTTTTCAGTAATAATAGCTTTTATTAGACATTTTGTATGTTGTGTCTTAAACATCAGCAAAAAGTATAAACACACATAGATAAATACATACTGTACATACTGTCTATGAAATACTTCTTTGATTAGTACTCTGAAGTGGTCTGAAGTGTAACTGTTTCCAGATGTGAAATCCTTGAGGTGTTTTAGTGCACCAGAAACCCTGTAGGGTCGTGACTCTCCAGGACCGTGATTGAGGACCACTGCTTTAAAGTATTAACAGAAACAAATACAGTACAGGAGATTTTTCAGCCTTTTTGTTAGTAAGAAAAAAATATTTTTGTTACATACTAGAAAGGCTTATGAAACATTTGTGTGTACAGTACACTATTGACTCTGCTCATTATAAGTCTTTGTGATACTTTTTGTCTCAGCGTCTCTCTGCCTCTATCACAGGGTGATGCTGGGCCACCAGGTCCCCCAGGAAATCACACAGGCCCCTTGATTGAACCCACAGAAGCACCAAAGGTGAATCCGAGATTTCATTCATTTTCAAAGGGGTTGATATTAGCACAACTGTTTAGCTGTCCTTTAAAATGTGTCCCCACGGAGCACATAGATTAAAGTGGAAATTGGAAGTGGTACTGTAAGGACTGAAATGGTAGTAATCCAAAACACAGATGCATTAGGATTCTTGGAAAAAAGCAAATTATTCCTAATTGTGCATTAATCTGCACATTCAATTATATCTACACTATATCTATTAAAATCCCAAACTGTAATGATTCGCGTTTCAGCCAAGATAACACAAATGCAGTACGCTTCCTAGACATTTTATTTATTTAAGTGTATGTGTGTAGAACGTGAGAAAAATGTGCAACATGCATATTACTGAAAATGCAGCAGGTGAAGAGGAAGGTGGAAATGGTATGAAGTGGCTCTCCAAGCTCTCTGTGGAACTGTAAACCAAGGGCAGTATAAGCAGCCGCAATAAGATCATGCTTAACAAACCCATCGATCACTTATCAATGGCGAGGTCCCCTTCTGGTTCAAGGACCAGTGAGGACAACACTTCCTTGACAGATTTCCTAGGAACATGAATGGTGCTTATTTGTCTGTTGTTGTCTACGCAGGGCTTACCTGGCAACTGGGGGCCACCAGGCGATAGGGGAGATCACGTAAGTAAACAGAATGAGTCTTTAGCTCCCTCATCTTCTGCCCCTTTGAAATCAGTTGTACAGTATTCAGGATTTTTAACATGTGTGCTAATGTATGTTGAGTAGTAGCGCCCCACTTCACGAACTTTTTTAGTTGAAAGTGAAAGGTCAAATAAACCAGCTGAAGTACCACTTCATGAAGTGAAAACAATGAATTGCAGTGTTTCGGTGTTCTAAATAACACCCACCTGCTTCTTCTCTTCTCTTCTTCTCTTAAAATCCATCCTTTCAGTTCAGCCTATCGCTTTTGATCTTTAATGAAAATCAAGTTAATTATTTTGAACTCAGTTCAGTTTCTTCCTTAATAAGAACGGTTCACCACATGTCTTAAACTGAAACGACCCCCAAACACCTATGCAATAACTCTTGGATTTCACCTTCAGAGATCAGTGCCTTTCTGTCATTGGGCCTTTCCCCCTAGAAATGTGTTTTATGTGTCTGTAAACAGTTCATTCTTGTGGAAAATGTTCAATTTTTAATTCAATGCATTTAGCTGAGGGAGTATCCCGCAGAAACGTATAAGAACAGACAAATTCACTGCTGGCAATGAATGGGTAATGGGCCTGTTTGGATACTAAGCGAAACAAAACATCTGTCTTCTTATGGATTTTTATGGATTTTAAACTGTTTTCATGTTTGTTGATGATGTAATACAAACTATTGAGTTGCTTCTAAAACTGGAAATGGATTTAGCTTTGTGAAAGTCACAACATTCTTCAGCTCCATTGACTTGTGTGGTTCTAAACTGTGGAGTGCCACAACTGTTTGTTCTGTTCATTTGTACTGTTTTAATCTAGGCTGACAATAAAGGAGAAATGGGTGTCATGGGGTATCCAGGACCACGGGTAAGAAGTGGAACTTCATCACATTTCACATGTGTTCTATTTTTTATAATATAACATTGTGTAACTTGCAATATAAATGTTGCCTTTAAGGGTTTCCCTGGATCAAATGGCCAGCCAGGAGAGATGGTAAGCTGACAGAATAACAGAACCTTATTTACAAAATAAAACAATAATCTGTGTTTCCACCAGGTTAACAAGTCTTTTACAGCACTGTATGATTCTATTACAATTTATGTATTTGTCATTTATTGTGTGCCTGCCTTGAGGAATATTTTTAGATACAGTTTGTACTGTTTGTAATGTACAGACATTATTATTAATTAGAAAGTTCATTAACAACGTAGAGTAATAGCAATGAGAAATCACCCAAAATACGAATGAAGTTAGTAATAGATTAAATACCTGGATAGAGGAGACAATTTCAACTGAATCTTTAAAAAAATCCATAGACAATGATTGTTCCATTTCTTCCTATTAATGATCTATTAATTATGTTTCTTTTCATTTAAAAAGTTATGTTTTAATAATCTATCTCTATAAGAAAACAGCCACCCTATAAGAAATGAAAACCACAGATAAGATGGAAGCCAAGGTCTTAGTACACAAATTCAGTTTCTATGAGCAATATTTGTGTTTAAAATGCAGTAAAATGTATATTATTTTTTTTCTTTTTAATTACAGGGGTCTGCAGGTGAAAATGGACCACCTGGAACAATGGGAATAAAGGTTGTCTTTTTAGGAGGGGCTTAATGACTTTTTTCCTTAGAAACAATCCAGAGCCCAAAGCAAAAGTCACAGTTTAGTTTTGTTTCATCTTGATATAATTAGTACAAAATAAATAGGACATGATGGTAATTGCTAGTTGACACTCTGGAAGAGCAGACCTATTAAAATGTTTTTGATTATCCATAAATGTTTTGAATGTAAATGTCTTTGTTAGAAGTCCAATAAATGTATACAAACTAGCCCTCTTTTTCTTCATACACAATCCTACTTAAATGCTGTCACACATTCTACAAAACACGTAACGCTGAATCTAATTCAACAAAACTACGTTTTTATTCTTGAGTGCTGCTATAGTAGAGATCGTACTGATGACTTATAATATTAATATCATGATAAGTTAATGTGCAGCAGCATTCTTTATGCTCTTGTTTTGCATCTATTAGTATTGACAATCAGCCGTAGTACTTCACAATCGATTCTTGGCATTTTGTAGATGGAGTTACAGTCCATTGTACACATATTTCCTTCAACTCCATCAAACTTCGCTTACCATTACATTAGAAGTCTTCAGTATGAGCATTCGAATTCTGAATAAAATATTAAATTTAAAAATGGGTAGGCACATTTAATTGAAGATAATGGAACACCTTAGGAAAGGTCTGTTCTGTAAGCCACTGTATATATATATAGTACATTTAATTTGATCATTTTTTATTTTCCTCATATGTGACTTTTCCAGAATTCCACAATGCTCCCGTTAATGTCTCTAGGTACACTTCCTGGCTTGGTCAGTTGTGCAGCAGTACATTTTAAATCGCCATGAATGTATCTCTCATCTTAGTTTATAGCTTTCACATTGTTTGTTTTTTTACTTATACCATACCGTTTGGTGTATTCCATTAGTCTTTGTCTGTTCTTTTTCTTGCTTAGGATTTCATTGAACGTTTTAACTCTAAAAAAATGGCTTCTGAAAAGATTATTCAAGGTTAACTTCGAGGAAAGGATTTATTGTGGCTAAACTGTAAGGACAAAAGGCCTGTGGGTCATCTACAGAACAGAAGGCACACTAAAGGGTGTGCAAATTTTATTACAAGAGGGAACATAGCAGAAGAGCACAAACCTAAACCACTTAGCTCTTCACCTGGCCAGAATCCCAAAATGTTGCTGACCCATCCTTATTTCCCGCCCTTCCAGGAGCAGTACCAGGGCAGACAGACTGGAGCAAGAAAGAACCCAGTTCTCCCAGTTCTTCAGCTCACTGGGAGCCATTCTACCACACAGCTTTGCTGTAATCAGACGTGCCATATTGCTGTGATCTGACATTTTTATAATTTGTTTGGTGTGATTTTTAGGGTGATCTGGGAGAACCAGGACCTTTCATTGATGATATACCAACTGGTATGTGAATTAATTTTACTATTCCAAAGTATTGATATTCATTATAAATAATAAATGTGTATTTATATAAGTGATTCATGTACTGCATTTCATAGTGCTGCTGAATTTGCATCTGTGAGATATGTGTTGTTATGTTTTAGACTGAATAGATTTCAGCTGAAAAAATAGTGCATCCAATTTTACTTTCCAGGTCCTTTCAGTTTGACAGAAATAATTTAAATAATTGTAAAATAATTGGCAGTAAAGCCTCTTCAAGATCTAGTTTTTACAATCCAGCAAGGTTTTTTTTGGTATGCATGCCTGGAGGTAGCTTTTACTGCTTGTTAATGTGGTGTTGTAATTTAGACTTTGGTTTTGAGAGCATTTGGCCATTGTGATATTGACTGTGACTCATGGGCCATTGTTTTATCATATCTGCCAGAACGCGCTGGGGCACAGCAGGGTAACAATCTAGAGAGGGATCACAATTAAAACACTTCAAGGGGGCTGAAAGAGAGTAAAGGCAAACCAACTAGGAAAAGAGATATACTTCAAAATCTCATCTTTCACTGATGGCAGGAGAGCCTAGCTAGGACATGCATCCTTGCTAGATGTGTCAGTATTTCAATCTTTCTATTTGTGGACGTAGAAATTGTTCCTGGTCCTGATGGAAGAAAGGGTGATCAAGGAGAGAGAGGAGACCAAGGTTTTAAAGGTATCCCAGGGCCTCCTGGCTTGCCAGCCACCTCCACAGGTAGGAATTCACAACTGAAATGTATATATAATCGGAAGATATTTTCTATATTCTATTGTTCTATATAATGTATGCACTGTATATATGAGGAGGAAGGTTAGGTAATAGTTACAGTGTTTAGTCAAAACATTAACACCTCAATACCCCTGTTATTCTAGTCAGTTCAGCCATACTGCTGTGTGAGGTAACGGCGCTAAATATTATGTCCATTTTAATACCCTTGGTACAGTATGTAACAATATTTTTAATGCTAGTGCTTATGTATTGTATTCCTCTCAGCTATTAATGTTTGTTCATTCCCAAAGGTGCTTACTGCACTAAACTAACATCTAGGATTTTTATAGCATTGATCTTTTACTGTGCACTTGATAATATACTGTACCTCAGATGACAGACCTCTACCTGCAGGACGTATAGATGCAGTAGATGTTATGGCACATGGTATCCACAGATGTAAAAAGGTCAACCTCAAAATGTCCCGCTTTAACAAATGCACTTTAGATTGAGGTACATGTATGAATCTCATGAAGTCTCATGAAGTCAGTTTTCTCGATTTACAATAAAGGAAATCAAAGAATTTTGCATTTGTGTTAATTCAGATGGGGGAACTGTCCTCTAAATTGAAATAAAGTGAAATGTGTTTCTTTAAATGTGGACCTCCTTCTGTTTCATAGGCTACTCAGGCCCGTTTGGTCCTAACGGACCTAAAGGAGATAAAGGTACCAGAGGTGATCCTGGACTTCCTGCAGTTCAGCCTGGGCCTCCCGGTCAAGATGGGATTCCTGGAATACCGGGCTCCCCCGGACCCAGAGGCTCATGTAAGTCTGGAGCAGGCCTCAGAGATGACCTTCCTCTGTCCGAGAAACATGGTTACGTTGCACTTCAGTAAAAAATAATTACATTTTAAGTTTCAAGTTTGATCTTTCAAGTTCCAAGTATTATCTGCCTCTTTGTGTTTTCACCATATGCTGTATCTGATATTTCCTGAACGAGATGCACTGTTTTATAGACAGCACTACTCAACATCCACCAAATCCTGCCTTTGCTATAGTCTGAGAATTCCAGTCCAGTGAGAGTTAGTTTTCATTTCAGATACAATACCAAGTGAGAATGTGAGGCTGACATTAAAAAAGAATGTATTAAAACAAGATGTACAGTATATTATTTTTAAGGTAAAGGGATATACTTTAAGCAGTGCTCATGCAGCTAGCAGAACAAATGTCGGAAAGAAAAGTAGTGGAAAGAACAAGAAGTAGTAGGAATGATGGGTGGAGAAGAGTTCATGTTGGAAGGGGGACTAAAGATAGTCTGGAGAATCCCATGTATTTGTTTTTTTGTCCCATTGATTAAGTGTAATGTTTCCTTTTCCATAGTGAACTTAGAACTTTATAAAGGACTGCCTGGTATTCAGGGTCAGCCTGGTCAGGCTGGACTGAAAGGATTCAAAGGTAAGACTTATCTTACGTCCTTGTAAGATGATGATATAAACTAGTTGTTAGAAGCATTCACTGTGAATTCATAGTTCAAAATGGGCATAATGGCTACTTCTACTTTTAAGGATCCAGTGAAATTCATTATAAAATGGCATAAATTAACATACTGTAAGTTGTGCCACCAATTGCTCAATTTTAAAGCTTAAAAGTCAGGTTACCCAACATGATCACGTTTATTCAGGTCAATGCGTCTAGTATTGCCAAACCAAGATGATCCAATGTTGAAGTAAACTGCATCAGTTTCCAAATATTACATGGTGAGAGAAAGTAAAGATTCGTCTGACATTTAGTTCTACCACTTTTACTCCAAGTAAAATTCCATGAATAGGAAGCCCTAAGCCTGCTGGGTATGGGTTAACTCATAACTCCTTAGAAGAACTGAGTGGCATATGTATATATCATATACTATAAAACATGATGAATTCGTTTAGTTAAATGTGCCCAGATACAGAATTCAACACAAAATACCGTACAAATTGTGTACAGTTGACCCTTGTCCAGCACAGCAGTAGGGTTCCTTCACGGCTGCACATTTGGCAAATCCATGTTGGAGAAACCTAAAGTATATAATAAACAGAGAAAGTTTAAACTATGTGAAAGCAGCCATACAAAGCCACCCATTAATACTTATACTACATATGTATATTATTACTCACAAATGAATGACCCTAACTACACTAAACTGTGTATGAAATTAAAATATGATAAGATATCTATTTTGTACTAGAAGCATAAGCATGTAATAAAAGCATAAAGATTTAGTGACATTTTCAATATGGTGAATAAAAATTACATGCTTTTCTTTGAAAGGTGAAAGTTGAGGGTACTCATATTTCTTTATAGCTTATACAGCTTCACTTATACTTTTTCTCTAATGGCATAAACCTATAAACCATAAAAGTTTTCCCTGCACTACCACTTTCAGGTGGTAACCTTCTTACCAGGAGTTTTGATGCCATAGTGCTTCGTCAGGGTATCACAATGAAATGATTCCCTTTCACTTGCATTATTTAAAAGCTTTTACCAGTTGAGACACAAACGTAAAGCCATGTTTTTCCGTTCCACCTCACTGTGCTGTCTCTCCTGTGTGTAGTCACGGCGTCGAGGGAAAACAAGAGTCTGATGTGCTGGGGGCCGGAGGCTCCCAGTTTGGTTGTGGCTCAGGCTGCGTTGTGCGTTAGTTTAGAAGGACTGATAGTTGAAAAAGAAACACCGGAAGGGTGAGGAGACGTACCTTAAACACGCTTGTCTGTCTCCATTGAGGTGATAGAGGTGCCTGTAACTGCGTCATCAGTGGCTCACCAGCGGGGCCCCCTGGCCCAGCAGGGAACCCGGGGCCGAAAGGAATGGAGGGGGAACAGGGCCAGCAGGGGGACCAGGGAGACCCAGGACCTCAGGGGCTTACAGGCCTGCAGGTAAGAAAGCGCTCGTTTGTCATTAATTGCATCTACAGTACATCACTTAGAACTAGCAGCAAATAGCAAAAGACTTGTTCACGTAGACAAGAATTTGAGAGTGAAAGTAATAATGCAACTGTGTAACTATCCCGTCTCTCCCTTAGTTTGTCACACGGACTCAACCAGTCCTTTGTTCTGAATTCCAGTTTAGATAGTGTTCCGTTTCCATTTCCTAGTTCACTTTTTCTAATTCTTCCACGTTTTGTAATTCTCTGCTTTTCGTGGAAATTCTTTCTGTCGGTTTCTCTGCAGCATTATAGACACACTGATAATCTACTTCATTGACTACTAGGGTTTTCCAGGCCCAGATGGTCGTCCTGGTACAAAGGGAGCAAAAGGAGAAATGATGATAGCCACTGAAAGAGGTAAGCGTTACACAGTTTCTTGCTGTCACCTTAAGATAGCCTATGCTGAAGCAACTTTAGAACATAACTTTGTCTTAAATATGCAGAAATTCTTCTTCAATTGGAACTCAAGATGTACCGATGACTGTGATTAATGTGCAGTAAAGCAGTTAAAATTGCTCCACACAAACCAAAATGAGATTATACACCGATTTTCAAGTTGTTAATAGTCTACCTTTGGGACCAGCAGTAGCTATCACACAGTGTTTCTCGGATGTGTGATTCCTTTTTCTCTGGAGGCCTGACAATGTGTCTGTCTGTGTTGAGCAGGAGCACAGGGAGACCCGGGGGTCACTGGACTGGCTGGTCACCCAGGTCTGACAGGGCAGCCTGGGAGAGACGGTTCCCCTGGGTATCCTGGACTACAGGGCCCACCAGTAAGCACTAGCTGTTTTAGACCGCCATTAAGATAGCGTCCCTTATCACAAAAAACAAGGTTTCTTTTGCTTGTTTCAAGGCTGGTTTTCACTTTTCTCTTGCCCACTGATGCAACCTCAGTACATAGTATAGATATACAGTAAGTAGCGGCACTGGATTAGTGTGACAGCCCCTCTTTAATTTGGCAGCTGCTTGGTTTACTATTTTTACTATCAAACTCCTTCCTGCAGATTGCTTCGTCTAGCAGAGCATCCTTGGCTCCTGTTGAGTCTTGGCAAAGTGATCTCATTCCTGTTAATTTGTAAATCCTCCTTTAGTATTCTATATCCCCCAAAATATAGCATTATTTAGCTCTTTGAGTTTTCATTAAAATCTAATTTACTGTATTATAACTATAAATAAATTGCACTTTATTATCAAATACTATGTTCTAAAAAAAATATGATATATTCAAAAGCATCTATGTATTTCTGAGTTGATTTCCTGTTTGCTACCATTGTTTCTTACCATTCACGTGAGGGGCTGCTCTCTCACCAGCTCCACGGCGCGTTTTGTTACAGGGAGACAGGACAAAAGGTCCCGCCGGAGATGCGGGTTATCAGGGACCTCTTGGTCCCATTGGCCCGGCGGGTCAGAGGGGTGAGCCTGGTCTCGTGCTGGGCTCGATGAAAGGATTTCCTGGACCACGTGGCGATCCTGGGCTAGATGGGGTTCAAGGACCTCCAGGGCTCAAGGGTCTTCCAGGTATGTTCACACAGTCCCCTTCCCCTCTCTGGGAGGGGACCCGGGGGACTTAGCTCTGCTGCATCTGTGTAGACCAATGCCTTAGATGCCATGTGGTCTGGAGAGTAAATCTGATCAGTTCACAGGCGGGCACAGTGTGTGAATGGGTGGGTATGTATTTGTAAGCAGGTGGCTTTCCTGGGATCTTATGAAAAGGGCCACTAAAATCATGATAATGCAGCTTTGGTTCTGAGCAGTTTCTAAGAAAGCTAAAGCATTGCAATATACAGAAGAGGTCCAGATCAGCAGTTTAGAGGATATACTTTTGAAACGTCAGGAAAACTGAGTTCTGTCATCTGGCACAACCATGTAAAATGGAAGGACTTTAATGCGCGCAAAAACACCTCAGAAACACAGCATATATTTCATCCCACTCTATCCAGATAATTAATTTCCCAACGCTAAAGGTTAAATCAGTTTAAGATGAATGCCTGTAGAACATCTTCAAGTTACTGTACACAAAACATTTGCTTGAAGGTTCGCATGAGGAATTACACCATTTAAACCCATAAAGGGCACACAGGTTTGCCAGTTTTAATCACACTACTCCATTGGCATGGCACAGTTAAAGAGATGGGGAACAGGGTAACACACTTCAGGAATACTGGTGTCTAGAATACTTCATCAGAAAGGTGCTGAAATATTTACCACCACCACTGGTCACCAGCAGTTCTACCTGCTGGCTGAAAGCAACTGTGATCTACCATGAGGAGCAGTTCCACAAATGTTAAGCATTTAAGGATTTTTAGGCATGAAAAGCAGTATATAAATGCAACATTAAATTGTTATTATTAAGCTTTTCAATGTATTCCTGCTTATGCATTTATCCTTCATGAATATATCTGCAATGACTACTCTCTTGTGCTTGAATATAACACTTGTTTAAATCATACTCCTGCTTCTACTAATGCTTTTCATCTAACTGCCTGTTTCTCTCCCTGTGGAATGAAAGGCGACTGTTGTTGTGGTGCTCAGGAAGGCGATGTGAGAGAGAAGAATGGCACCACCACTGCAGGTAGCTGGATTGGAGAAATGCTGCTGTGTAATCAAACATTGGGATTTGGTTTCCATGATTTTTCTTCACTGTCTGGCTTTAATCTGGACTCCTAAATGATACCTCTCATCTTTAAAAGGAAGAAAAGACTGTATAAGTGATGTGATGGAATTATTGGTTAAGGATTTGCAGTGCATACTCAGTCGAAAATATGCCCTCATTTTTTTATACTTATTGCAATTCATCTTCCTTGCTTTGCTCCGCTGCTTTCCCATCTCTGGACTTTTTAAGGGTTGAAAATGTAGTTAAATGTAGTTAAAAAAGTGATTTTAAACAGGCATAACCTGTCTCTGAATGGAGGAGCAATTAACTGTTCTACAGGTTTGCAGAACAGTGCAGAGGAAAAGGGGGATAAGATGAAGAAAAAAAAGATTAAATTAACACTAGGTTAACAAGAGTAAAGTTTTATTTGGACTCGGGTCATGACTAATGAACAACCAATCATGTATCCAATCTGAACAGAACATCAAAAGGGAAAGGAGATGATAGGTCATTGTTTGAAATACAAAGAAAGTTCTGTTGGAACACAGGTAAAGCATTCTAACATGTTGAAAATGTTTTTTTTTAATAGGAGAGTGTGACCAACAGCCAGCAAAACCTGGACTACCAGGGCCCCCAGGTGTCCGTGGGCCCCCAGGGGTCAATGGCTTATCAGGTTGGTTAGATTTTCAAGAAGCACAGCAATGTAATCAAGGCAGAATTCCATTTTAACACATGGCAATGCATGTGGGACATAATAATATGTTTCCAATAATGGTTATGGACTTCCTTTACAACAGGGAAGGGATAATAAAATACAAGATACATGACAGCTATTCACATAAAATGTAATTGAGGGAATGAATTGTACAATGAAATAATGTCGCTACCAATTTAGAAAAAAACAACATAATTGTATATTTAAAGATCAGTTAGGTAAAAAATACTTTTTCTCTTTGTAAAAGCTGTACAAGTAGACCTTTGAGCTTTTGCCTTGACGGATTGTGTTCAAATGTGTGACGTTTAAGAGAAGCCATAATTTTCATCACCTTCTGAAAAAGAAGCTTCTTTTGAAATGAAGGATTCTGGACCTGTTCTTGTTGATTACCTGTCTTTTATGTCATGTAACTTTTGTTTAACCTATGTAATGAAAGAAACAGCAGTTCCCTCTAACACAATAAGACCATTTCACAAAACGGTATCTCTTGTAGTCAGCTTCAAGGGAGAGCTGCTGTCTTCAGTAGTGAAACACGTTTATTCCTTCCAGTGGCTTTTGCTGAATTCCAACGCGAAGTGTTTTTGTCAACCTCTCAGGCAGGCAGGGTGAAAAGGGGTTTCTAGGGCTGCCTGGAGCTGAAGGATTCAAAGGCGAGCAAGGGGAGCAGGGCAGAGGAGGGGCTCCTGGTCCACCGGGTGAGTGTGGCCCTCGAGCAAAGTTCATGTGTAGAGTATCTGTCAGCTTTCCCAGCACTTCTGATGGCAGCAGTGCTGTGAGACTTATTTAGGAATAATTCCAACTTTGAGTGTCCAGGACCAGTTCTCAAAACACAGTTCCCTTGGAACAGTGCCATACATGTTTAAATGCATTACAAATGAAAACAATGTATTTTTATCACACTCTCTTCTCTAGATCATCTCAAGCATTTCCACATATGATTCTTTGAGTCCTGTGCAGTAGCAAAATTTAACTATTGCAGACCCTGGTGCAAATGTTTTTTTTTTATTATTTTATATCCATGCACCCAACCTAAGATCCAACCCTGGCTTTAACTGTATGCTATTTGAAAAAGAAAAATCTTGACCAGCAAGCAAATGATAAGAGTATATTTATAAACTCTCCCAAGTCAGACTTTACAATATTTCACTCGCTATGTGTTGTGCACATAAGTTAAAAATGGCCTCATACTGTACTCAAATGCCAACAGTAATTTCAGTGCCACTTGCAATTCCGCTGCTTACTCTGAGCTCTATACAGGTTTTACTGGTCCTCGTGGAGACCCAGGCCAGCCAGGCCCACCAGGTCAGGAGGGTTCACCAGGATCACCAGGCCGACCAGGCCAGAATGGAGAACAGGGACGAAAAGGACATCATGGAGAGGTCTTGGGAGCAGCTCATGGTGCTCCTGGAGACCAAGGATTTCCTGGACTGTCTGGGCCAAAAGGTCTGACAGGAGAGCCTGGCCCACAGGGATATTCAGGTGTGCAGTGAGATTGAAGACATTTATTCTTCAACATCAAAAGTACATCTTTACATTCTACAGTTAGGAATGCATCTTCGCTTTCTTACTGTCTGCTATTATTTGTAGCTCTTAAAGGAAAACCTACAACAATATCAAAATGGAAATGTGAGAGAAGGCTCAGCCTAAACATGTGTGATAGGTTTAACAAATTTCATTGTTGTCTTATGCATCAAATCAGTCACTTGTCTTGAAGTATCTCCTCTGTTCTTGAAGGAATGGGTGGCATGCCTGGAATCCCAGGTTACAAAGGAGAACAAGGTCCTCCTGGGCTACAAGGGGAGGTAGGCGTACCAGGACCAGTTGGAGTACATGGTACTTTGGGATCACAAGGGAACCCAGGCATACCTGGACCAGCTGGTTCGATAGGCCCACCTGGTGAGTTGCCTGTTACCTGTCATTAATTTGGAAAGGAGCATTCTTCAGTATTCCAGTTTATGTTGGGTTAGTGTGTGTGTCCCAGTGTGTGAGATATTGCTGTTATATGTGTGCTGTGCTGTGGTTGATTCTGAGTTGTGGTGCTCTAGCAGTGCTGTCCTGAGGCTGGCTGGTGTCGGTGTGGCTTGGGCCAGTGAGCCTCAGGACCAGCTGGCTCAGAGGGCTCTTTGTTGGGCTCAGCTCTTGGCTTGGCAGGGCCTTGTGGTGGTAGGAGTTTTGGTCGCTGTTTTTTAGGTGTGGCCAATACTTTATTACGCTCTTCTGTATGTTTATTATTAATGGGCATTGGCCTAATTCCGCCCTGCATGCTTTGTTAGGTGTTTCTATGGGCTGTTGTCCCATTTGGTGTAATCCTGCTTGGTGAGGGGACCCCACACTTCACTGCCGTATAGGGCAGTGTGTTAGATTACGCTTTCAAATAGTTGGAGCCAGATTCCTGTTGGTGGGTTGATATTGAAAATCCTCCTTCTTATTGCGTAGAAGGCCCTGAGTGCCTTCTATCTCAGTGCCTTCACTGCGAGGTCAAAACTCCCAGATGAGCTGAGGGTCAGACCAAGGTATTTGTGGATGGATGTGTGCTTCAATATGTTGTAATTGAGTGTGAAGTGGTACTTGTACAATCACAATCACCCTGTGTTAATCAGTGGCTTCTCTCCTCTCTTAGGCCTCTCGGGAGAAAGAGGGAATGAGGGTGATACTGGCCCACCAGGTCCCATTGGAATGAAAGGAGCCCCTGGAAATCCTGGCAGTCAAGGGTTAAAGGGTGAAAGAGGAGCACCTGGATATCCTGGAAATCCTGGTCCAGATGGAATTCCTGGTCTTGTTGGTCGCAAAGGTAAATTTACATTAACACATATTTCAGTCATAAAAGCATGCTTTCAAAAATGTTTACTTCTCAACTCAATTTTCTTTTCTCAAAGGAGAAAAATAAGAAATCCAATGAATTTGAGAAAAGCTGACATTTTACTACACCAGGATTCACTTGTGTGAAGATGTTACAAAAACTTATTTAACAGAAGTACAGTAGAAGGTGCAGTGATTAGTTTACACTTGCTGAAACCGTTAGATATTTGAACAGTCAATTGTGAGAGTGTTTTGTTTGCTAGAATCAAGCCAACAATGCCATACACACTGATCCTAAATTAAGAATATTCAATTTATTAATACAGCACCTAAACATTCCTAATAAACCTAAAGTAATAGAGTAATAAAAGAGTAATAATCTATAGTATGTAATCATAACTCTGATGTAATTTATTAATGTTTGTGTAATTGCTAAGTGAACTGCTTTCCTAGTGCTTTAGACATAAGCCTAAACTTCATCTGGTCAAGGCAACGGAAGTATTATTATAACACTTAATTTTAGTGAAATAATATGCCTCCTCACTATAGACGTCAAATTTAATTCTCACATTTTACTCCTCTTCATATATATACTCTGTTCCTGCCCACAACCCCGTATGCATTTTTCTAGCTCCTCTCTCTCCAGTCAACTCTTGAAGCAGCCTCCCAGGTTCATTCCTTGTGAGGAGGGTTGTGAAAAACCTGACCTTTGGCTAGCTCTGTTATTTCCTCAGCCAGATGAGTTGACACCAAAGTATTAAGTATGCACTTCCTTTATATCCGTTGTTTTGTTTCGGCTTTATTAGAATTTGACCAAACTACTGAAGCGGTATTATAATCAGAACGTTGTTGAATGCTAGGTAAAGTAGGATCTTTGCTTTTTTTACATTAAAATGCTCAGCACAACTTGAATCACAATGGCACCACATAATAGAAAAGAACAAAATATTTGTATGTTGCTGGTTACCGGTCAATTGGACATTCTTCATTACTCCACTTGTCTAGGTCCTAGGGGTTCTGAAGGGATGCCTGGGTTCAGTGGCATGCCTGGGTTAAGCGGTGAGAAAGGATTTGAAGGCATTAAGGGGGAGACTGGAATTCCCGGGATACAAGGAGAGAAAGGACAGCAAGGTGTACCTGGTGCAAAGGGTAAGGTCACAGTGTTTTATATACATTTTCATCCTATCCAGTGTCCTGCTTTTTAAACTTGAAGTGTCAGCAGATATTTTCACATCTGTGACTAACATTTTGTTTATGAAGAGAAGTACAGAAATAATCTTTTACCAAAAATCTAGTTCCATGAACTGTAAGTAAACAAATAGGCCTAGATGCTTCCACTTTTCTGCATGGAATAAATAAGATTCGGCTGTGTGAGTCTTCTTTAAGACTAGTGGCCTCAGCAAAGTAAATTCCAACTTTACTGCACCTCTGAGATCTCACAAGAAGGGACAAAATGTGGTAACACTGCTGTATGCTGCTACATATATAGGGGATAAAAATAGAAAATCGAGTGGAATGCTCAATCATATTAATCAATACATAATCATAACCCCCCCAAATTGTAAAACATATGCCAATAATATATTTGAGCATTTGGTGTAGTTAGAGGCAAAAAGAGATTTTGTTCTCTGGTGATAGAGTAATAAATGAAAGTCAAACTGGGATAAACAAATTTTAATCAAGAATAACAATAACAAAAACAAAGAAACAAACAACACAATATACTGTACAACATAAAACATTCAAGTTACTCTATTTACAAACAAGGCCTCTGATGTAAATACATCCTGTCCAACCAGAAGAACATTAGACTGCTACCCAGTATTCAAAAATCCTATATAATGAGTAACAGGCCAACATTAGGGATACACATTCCATTCCATCAAATAAAACAGAATACATCCCAGAACTAAATCTTTCTTCCTCCAAAGTTAATGAGATCCTATGTCCCTATTTTAAAAAATGCATCCAATAATCAGGAGAAAACATTTTTAACCTGAGGATTCTTTATAAAGGAAATCAGAGTTCACTGAAATAACAAACAACAAGCTCTCTTTAACAAAGCTCAAGTAATTAGAATCCGGTCTTTAAGGTTGTACTCCTGTCTTTCCATCTCTGTCTCCTGCTTCTGCCTACCTGTTTTTCACCCTGGGTTTCTCACTGATGAAGACTCTTAATGATTATCCAAGGTGTTGATTACGGTAAACCAGAAGATCCCTTTGATATATTGTCTCTCAAACTGCCTACAGCTCTGCACACACCTCAGTTCTCTGTCCATTGTTTCTAGATCCTGTAACAATATTACAATTAGCTCCTCAGATGCAATGTAGTGAATGTTGTTGAACAGTTTCCAAGAAGGCACTCTCTTCTATTTAAGGTGATCGTGGAATACCTGGGCCACCAGGTGAAAAGCCACACATGCCTCTGATATTGAAAGACAAAATGAAAGGATTAAAGGGTGACCAGGGCCGGCCAGGAGAGGATGGATTTACAGGCCCAAGAGGTAACCTTAAGACGCCTACTTGTTACACAATCTAACAAACCTAAGAGTAACTGCAGCTGGAATGTGTTTTCATACATATGCTTAAGAGCAAACGTCATTCTAGTTTTGCAGAAAGTTTACCTTTCTACTTATTCCCTGTGTGCCACAGGCCCCAAGGGCATGCCAGGAGTTCCGGGTAGATATGGACAAGATGGCTTGCCAGGAGAGCCCAGTGATGTGAAGGGCATCAAGGGGTCAGCTGGTCCCGAAGGCCTTCCAGGTCCCAAAGGATTGCCTGGACCCACAGGACCACAAGGAATCCCGGGCTTTCCAGGCATGCCCGGAATTAGGGTGAGAGTTGTTTGCTTTTAAGGTTTTAGATGCCTTATTTGATGTTTCAATCATCAATGAGATGAGGTGTTAAAATGAAGCCGGGTTGGTCTTTCGTGGAGGTTGGTGTTTAGACCCTATGCGAGGCGGACCACAGGCAGGGACCACAGACAAAAAGGACCACAGACAGGGTTCAGGGGAGACACACAGGGTTTATTGGTGCTCACAGTAAAGTAGGGAAGTTCGTGCAGGAGTGCGGGGAAAATCCAAAGGCAAACATATCTAAGAAGTTCAAGGGGAAGTCAGGAAGCAGTAGCAACCATTTGCAACACTGCAGATTACAGACCGAAGTCCACCAGAAATAAATAATAAGCTTTAAATGATAGTAAAATGTATTTTGACGTTTATAAAATGGGCTGTGATTATGACATTGGTGATAGAAAGCCAGAAACAATTTAATGAATTAAGATACTTGTAATCTGCTGCAGGAGTGAAGCAGTGGATCTACGACGGGTATGGTGAACCTGTACGCAGGCGAGTAGCCCGCAGGCTAGAAAGGCAGGCAGCACAGTGTACAAACAGTAGGAAACGAAAGTAAAAAATATCCGAGTTCATAGTCAAGCAGGCTGGGGTCAGAGACGGTGAATGTGAAACTAAACACAGTTCGAGTTTATAGTTGAGCAGGCAGGGGTCAGAGCAGGTGGAGCAAAGAGGAGGGAGAGAGGTCAGGGTTCAGCACAGCAGCACAGAAGCACAGCAGCACAGAAGCACAGCAGCGTAGCATAGGTGGGAATTCAAGCCAAAGCTATAGATTAACAAGCGGGGTCCAGGGCAAGTAACATTGATGTAGCAAGCCAAGGGGTTGGTCCGGGACCTGAGGCGAGACAGAGTGAGGTCAGGAATCCAAATGAAACACAAGCTGGGACTGTAGACTCGAGAGGCTCAGAGACAGACCTGTATGACGGAGCCCAGAGCACTTTAAGAGCAGCCCTTAAATAGTTTGATTCACCTGAGCCAGCCAGATAGTATTAGCACACAGGTGAATCAAGCTTCCTTTCTGATTGCCTCTTCATGGCAAACATCATAGATGACAGAAAAGACAGGTTTGGACAACTGCTATGTTAATGCTAGCTCACTCCAGTGGGTACGAGGATAACAATACAATGACCTATAGGTCACCTATATTGTTTTTACTTACACATTTGAGATAACAGGACACTATCCAATTTTCCTTTTCCATTTTCCCCAGGGAGAGAAGGGTACTCCTGGAATCTATGGTGACCCTGGAGATCCAGGACTGAAGGGAGTAAAAGGTGAGGCTAATGAAAGAGAGGTTTAATTAAAAAAAAAACTAAATTGAAATACTTGTAATACTTTAAACTAGATTGACATCTTTGGTTTCAACTATTACAAACAGTATAGTAAGTGAATTACATTATGCTGAGAAAGGAACTGGGCCCTTGGTTTTTTTCTATTATATCTACATGTATATAGTTATCTTCAATGGCAATTAATGCTTTGTTCTTGTTTTATATATAAATTCTTATTCTTTCACTCACCCAGTGTTTTATGTTATATTGTTAATTTTCATAAAGGGATTTTTGATCTGATCAATTTGATACTGTTCATTGTAAAAGCATGACTTAAGAGGACTAGCAGGACTTTATGTAAAAGGCCATCATCATTCAATACTACGGGTTATTATTGAATAAAATAGTAGGTACCTGCTAATGTACCTAAAAATATAGTTCCATGATCAGTGGTTTAATTCCTTGTATATTATATGTGCTATATACAGTATATATGATTAAAATCTTAAATTAATTGCATTACTAAGACATCTATTACTGTTTTTGTGAAACTGTCCACTCGTATGCTAAAATTTAAATTAAGGGCCTTTTTGATCTTCTAAAAAAGCATTAGGTATGGACTCAAATTTGTTTTTCTTTGACAACCTCCATTATTGCAGATTACGTGTGGATGGCAAGGAGGGAGATCACATGTTAAAGTTACCCTTAGGTGCCTGACTTCATATCTTTGATTTCACTGGAATTGAATCTTTACAGGTGAAACTGGCCCTAGGATGGATTTACCAGGCTCCACAGGTCACAGAGGTGACGTAGGAATACCCGGATTACCAGGTAAATTATGATGAACTGCTACGTTATGACCACGCACCACACCTGTCACTAATTGTACCTCATAACCCCATTAATTCTGCTCACCTGAGCCCATCACCATTTAAACCCTCAGTTCCCACAACACCTTGCTTGGTACTGGAGTCTTGACCTTGAGGGTTCGCTCCTTGCTCAGTTGCTCTCACCATGTGTTTTCCCTGTACTACTCTTCTGGCTTTTTTACCTTATTCTTGGACTTTCGGATCTCTCTCTTTTTTGGATTTGTTTTCCACCTGGACATCGGCATGCACCCCATAGGGTCCTGCTTTAATTACGACGTTTAGCCTTAACACTACACAGCAGAAATGTTTTAAGTAATGTGCAAACTCCATTATTAGGTGTTCTTTAGTGGATCTGCAATTCTTTTCTTTCTCCATCACTGTAGTAAAAGTTTACTGGATGTCATCTGGCCACAAATGTTTATTCCAAAACTATTCTGGATCATCTTTGTTCTTCCAACCAAATGTTGAAAACAAAGTCAGCCAGACTTTGTAATGGCCACCTCTGGATCTGGCACATTCATCTCTTTTACTGATGTAACTAGTGATGGCAGCAACAGAATGAATTCTCAGGTTCACAAAAAACATTTTGTCTGCTTATGTAGAAGAAAATGCTTCCATACTTGTTGAGCCGCACTGCATAACAGCATGAGAATGGCCCAAAACATAGGACTAGTGCAGGAGGAAAAAGTGGAAAGTCATACACCAACCAAGTTAATTAGCAGATTTACAGTAAATGGAACTGAAGTCAGTAAGTCCCAGGAATCCGCAAAAAACCCAAAGTGATGTTAGCAAAGGCTTAGCTTAACATCGCAATGATTATACTGATAAGATCTCAGACTTCATTTAGTTATGTAAAGAGATTTAACCAAATGCCAAATTTTAACATTGACCCAGTATTTTAGGTCATTTGAAGTCATAAGGCTGAACATAAATTATGTTTGTGTTCTAATTTGATGTATATAATAAAATATATACTACCCAAATAGGAAACATATTATATTGTACTTATTTTTCAAAGTAATCTTATACAATATTATACAATACACAAGCATATACAAATTGCTTGGCAAAAAAGCAAAAACAACAGCTTTCATGATGATGTCCAGGTACTTTTGGAGGACACTGTACATAGCAGGCTTGCTATTATAATACTACCTTTTACACACACCTCCCCCACTGACTCTCATTGCTGACATTATGACCACTAGTGCTGCTCTCATCATCTTCTTCAACTTAGTGCCTGACTCATCTCTCACTGTTTAAGAGTCATCAAGCAGAGCTGCCAGTAAACTCTGAGATCAGCCTCTGATTCACCCTTGTTCACATAAAGACTGTAATACCAAGCTGAACTTGTGATCCAGGAATTCCAATTTATGTAGAGCTTCAAAATGCCGTATTGCTCGAACTCTGTTGAGTCGCTAATCACTCCCACCTGCAGGACTGCAGGGAGTTCCTGGCCAACCAGGAGACATCGGCAGTGCAGGCTTTGATGGCATTGATGGGGTAAAAGGGATAAAGGGGTTCGCTGGGCCTGGAGGCCTTCCAGGTAAGTAATAGAACCTAAAACCTGATGGTGAATGTCACATGACCTCCATTGAAGTCTATCACAATCCCTTGGTTCACGTGCTCAGCCAATGTTTTGATTGTTAGAAAAGTCACTTTCTTTGTACTCTTATCTTAGTAAAGTACTGGAAAAAAAGTTAATTGATGTTTTAGTTGTTGTTTATCGTCTTACCTGTTGTGGATCCACAGTATTGTCGTTATCAGTTTGTTCCATCATCTTATGTTAGGGTTAAAGAGTCTGTCTCACCCCTGGATTAAATGGAGGCTGTCTGTCTGTTGGGATGCACAGTCCAGTGAAGGTTTGAGATGAGTTTAATTGTAATGAAAACGGCCAATTCCGGAGAACACCGAAGGAGACACACACGAGGTGTATCTCCCACAGTGCCCCGAATTGTAACAGTTTTACAGAGGTTTTCAGAGTCTGAGCCATGTTATTACCATGAATGGGGGTTCAAGAATCCGCATTCTACTTATGGCCCACTGGCTGTTCTTGAAGATATTGTCCTGCCTTTCAGCTATTTCTGTGGTGTCATGTACTACAGCAGGTGTCCGTTCTAAAATTCTCTGAAGCCAGGTCAGAAGACCAGGTCAATGACCCCAGGCCAAAGCCAGATATCTACACTGTCCATCAGATGGAGCAGGGGTGGAGCTTAATGTATTTAACCTGGTGTAGCAAGATAATCATTGTCTTAGTGTGACACATGAATTGGTCTGCGTGACCAACAGCCTAGTGTTGCAAATTAATTTTTTAACTGCTAGTAGGAACGTTTCTTGAAAGACCGCAGTTTACTCCTTCTGTTAAATGTTCTTTCTTTTCTTCCTTTTGTAAATAGTTTTTAAAACAGCCCTTTTAGTCAACACCTTTTTCCACAGCTCAGTTTGTTGATGCTTTTTATTATTTTTGTGACCCCTGGATTTATTTTCAGGTGGTTGTGACCCAGTGAAAACTTTTTTATAATCTAATTTACGTGGTTTGTTTTGACCTGTTTTTACCTTTGTATCGAGCTTCAGTGTAAGGTCTTTTGTGTTATTGGTATGTTAACGATGTTTAAATAGCTTGGTGACATGCCTAATTAAACCATAAGTAAAAAGTATGAATGCTAGACCTGTTCTGATCAGCCTGTGTTAAAGGTCAGTTTGTATTCTCTTCATTGCGTTAATGTGGTTGGGGTTTATTAATTGGAGCCTTTTGATTGTTCCTCAGGGTCAGCTGGGATTCGTGGATTTCCAGGACCTCAAGGTCAGAAGGGGTGGCCTGGATTCCCAGGAGAGCCTGGCTTAAAGGGCAAGCCTGGTCTACCTGGACTTCAAGGTCAGACTGAAGGCTTACACACACATGCTGCATACAAACGTGCTCAGGAGAACAAAACAGCAGATCCCATCCCGTTTTCCTTACATCTCATTATTTTCATTAATATAAACCTAAAGCTATTTTTTCCCAAAATAATAGACCACTCTAGGAACAGGGAAGTAGGTTGTAAAGCAGATATTTCATATTACTCAATTAAGGAACATTTTGACCTGAAAAATCTTCTCCATCTTCCAACTTTTCCCCTTATTAAACTTTTAAACTTTCCATTTCTTATGCACTACGAAGTGATTGTTGATTAGTTAAATTGGCATTTATTGCATTTGCTTATGGAAAATAAAAGCTTGTACTGAAGGATTAAAGCTATAAAATTAACGTTTGGTTTTTCCTCATGCATTTCATTTGCAAATCTTTTACAGGATTCCCTGGTTTGAGAGGTATATTTGGACTTGATGGTCTGAAAGGCCAGAAGGGCGACAAAGGACTTCCAGGTATTAACTGGGTTTGCTTCAATTGTTGAATTGAGCTCCCATAAAATACTATTTCTGTCTCACTTTTAATATTTTAATTTAATATTACTCTAATATTTCCTCTGCCGTGGAAAGACAGTAACGATAGATAGATAAATACTTCCTCTGTTTCATGTTATGGGTTAAGGAAAGGTAATAAATATGCACTACCAGAATATATTATAACTTTAACTGATTAACGTTAAATCTAATCAGCGTAAACTCTAAGTAAGTTGTTACTTTTGTTAACTAGAGTAGTCTACTAATTTTATTACTGTACCACTGACAATTTTATTTTACAGATAAAAGAACTATTATAACTTAGAACAAATAAGAAACCAGTCAGCTATAGTGAGAGAATGGGTTTTAATTCTGATATAGAATGAAATAGTCAAAACCATGACTTACTGATGTTAGTGGGCAATATTCAGCATATGCAAACAACCAAGACACATTTTCTAGACTTCCTAATTTGTGCCTTTTCATTGTAAACCTTAATGGGTGTTGAACTTCCAGAAATTGAGGATTATACTCACTGAATCATATAGCACTGAATCAAAGCAAATACATTTTAAATGTTGACAGTGGTTTCCATTATCACAAACCTTTGTATCTACAACAAAATAAAGGACAAAACAGTACTGAATACTCTGCTGAGGGTGATTGAATGAAATAATAATTAGCCAATTAACTGACACTTCTATACAAAGCAGTGTACATGTATAGAGACAGCTAAATGAGCTCCACATCAGCTGGGCTCAAGGAGATTTAATAATGTCCTTGGGATAACATACAGTACCCAGTGTCAGACCTAGGGTTTAATAAATCTCCTAGGAACACCCCCCTTCCAGGGTGGCCCTGCTCGTCCTGTCGGGGGGTGTCCAGTGAGCCTTTATAGGACCCACCCAGCTGGGACTACAAAGGCGAGGCATCGCCCGTCTATCAGGGCTCCACCTCCACACTGGACACGCCCCCATATAATGCCACAGTACCCCCAACACCCGTACTGTCTGCCTTTAATTTCTCTCCTCGCCTCTGATTGTCTAATAACACTCTTGTACTGATGAAATGAAAGAGCCTAACCAGAGGCTCGTTGGTTTCATTTTCTTTCATTTCATTTTCTTTTCCTTTTCCCTAGGTATAAACACCAGGGGCAACACAGGTAGCCCCGGGGTCAAAGGGGAGAAGGGTAATCCAGGATTGCCAAGTCCAGAGCCTGGCATCCCAGGACCGCCTGGAATCAAAGGACAACAAGGGGACCCAGGTAGCTATGGAGACAGCCTATACCCAGTGCAGCATCTCAGTCCGCTCAATTGCAGGTCCCCTGCGGTAGTTTTCTAGAAGCTGCTCAACTCTGCAAAACACAGCGAACCAAAACATTATAGTTGAAAAGTTGTCCTCTTGAGCCCTGGTGTTTTAAGATAAGATAAGATGATGTTATTGGTCATATACAATTTCTTTTATTAGGAATTTGTCTTTTCACATACCCCAACTTGCTCTCCATGAGACATACAGAAAAGGAGAGAAGCTTGGGGTCAGAGCACAGGATCAGCCATTTATACAGCACCCCTGGAGCAGTTGGGGTTAAGGGCCTTGCGCAGGGGCCTAACAGAGTAGGATACATCTGCCAGCCACAGGATATGAACCAGCAACCTTCTAGCCACAAGTCCAGATCCTTAGCCACAGAGCAACCATACCACCCCTATATATTACATAGATATAAGCAAAGTTTGCAAACTCAGTGAATGAGTGTAAAAAAGGTAGGAAAGTACATGCAAGCAATTCTAAGTGAACTCCAAATACATCCATGTACATATTGAGGTCTTTCTGTCTATATTCTAAACAGGTAATGAGTATGTATTAATTCATTTATTACTGAATTCCTAGGCTGTAATAAAAAACAAAAGCATTGTGAAAAATTATTTTGGATTGGTATAACAAAAAGCTTAGAACATATAGTTAATACTGTACGCTAGCAATTCAAGATCAAAACTTATAGGAAATATGGTGCACAATTACAACTTCGTAGTCCAAAATAACTAACTTTCTGTAAAATTAAACATTTCAAGTGAAGTTCTTCATTCTGGAGAATACACGCACATACTGTACATGGTCATTAAGCATTACATTTTAACATGGTGTGGCTGGCCTTACAGCAGCCCCCTAAAGCTTAACTTGACTTGTTAAAGACAGACCCTGGACAGGGATGCACTATGCTGTCAGTCTCTCTTGTGAAATGAACGCAGGTGAAATGCTGTAAGGGAGCAGGTGATTTCAAGTGCATGATAATATTGATCATTAGATGTACTGTAGCTTAACGTATCACTTCTTTGATATTCATTTGTTTATTAATTCTCAAAGGCATGCTGGTTATTAATTCATCTTCATGGTGCTCAAAAGGGGGAAATGGCACATATGAGCTGTAGTCTTCTACATTGTAGATCTTTGTAATATACTGTAGGCCCTGCCTGAACCTTTGTATGATTTCGTGTACGTGCGTGTGATGGCATTAAACATGAGTGAAGCACTTGGCATTTTTGCATAGCTTTCTTGTCTGTTCTTGTGCATTAGGTGACCAAGGCTACTCTGGACCTCCTGGAATTCGAGGTCCACCAGGACCACCAGGAATCTCGGGTATAGTGGGCTTACCAGGAGATCCAGGCTTCCCAGGACAAAAAGGGTTTCAAGGTATACAGTTGTGCCATTCTCCTATGGAGTTAACAAAGGACAAACGTCTATAGCATTCAATAAGATCAGTTGGGACAGTGAGCTAGTTATTTCAGAGAAATGTACTCTGCAGTGGCCAGTTGCAGCTCCTGAGCTTTTTTAAATGTAAACAGCTGTCGGTAAACAATTGAAAATACCTTAGGTCAAGGGTAAACCAAAACTGGGTCAGGCTCTTGCTATCTAAAGAAATTCATACACTGCACAAAAGGTTTGCAGCTCGTTTTGCATTTGGAAAAAGATGCCATATGGGTCCTTAACGGGCTGGCAGGTGGAGCACCTCAAAGACATTAATGAAGACATAAACTTTGAGATATGGGCCGAATCATCACTAAAAGCATTATGGTGCAGTATATACTGTACACCAGTTTTACATAAATGTTGAGTTTCTCCGACCAATAACTTACAGAGACTGCATTGCACAAAGGGAAGTTATGGCCAGCTGCAGCAAGGTGCTGCTGGGGGGAGGTGAATTCAAGCCAGCCGTGTGTATTGTGGGGCTTGCACACTGTCACAGCAGATATCATCGCAATCATTCAAGAGCCGTCAGCCGTTGGCTGTTCTGAAAGAAAAGTGTGACAGCCTTATAGACGGGATCAAACTATTTGATGTGGGTGTATTTGTATACATAGCATTAAGTAAATCAAGGCAAAATGTCACTGTGTGGGAAGGATTGCTTGAATTGATTGTTTGATTTTGATGGCGGGTGTTTTGTTCAACCGATGTTTTGGGCAGGCTTCCCGGGAGCTCGTGGTATTCCTGGAAAGCCCTCTCCTTATGGTGAGAAGGGGGATCTGGGAGATTCAGGAACTGCTGGAAATGATGGCCTCAAGGGTGTGAAAGGAGAGGAAGGATTTCCAGGATTTCCTGGTCAAAATGGAATCTCTGGAATTAAAGGTATATCACCTGAAAATCTACAGTGAAAATCTACATGCCTGTAAAATTTCAGTTCATATTCAATAATATTTTATGCAGTATTCATTTATCTTTGAAACATAAAGCATGCCAAACTTCCCCAATGCCAATTCAATAAGACACTCTACTTGAAAAGAGAAAATTAAAAGTACTCTGCAATTGCTTAGATTTTGATTCAAAGCAGTTTAATGAAGCAAACACAGAATGAGGTGTGTGAGAAGTATGCTCATGAAATCCTTTCTGCCATAATCAAAGCATTTTTGACTGTTAGAAATATGTAATATTTTTACATTTTTAATGCAAAATGTAATTTACTAAATGAGCTTTAGACATTGAACACAGTGTACAGTATTTGCATATGGTGGTTATATTCACACAAAACACTTAATAAATGTTTAGCCTAAACAGAAAGCTTTGTTTTATCTTGTAAGGGCAAAAAGGAGAGCAAGGACTAATAGGAATACCGGGCAGACCTGGAGTTAAGGGAGACAGGGGACCAACTGGACCAAAGGGGGACACTGGCCTACCTGGTAATGCACTTCCTCTTTGCTTCTTGAAAACTTCTTTTTTGAAAGAATAATGTTACAAGTTTGAAAGGGGCAGCATGGGTTTATGAAACATTGTTCACACTCCTTATTTCTTATTTTTCCTTTTTAAATTAAAAACGTGTAAGTAACCAAAATCATAAAATGGGGTACAAAACACCACACGCAATACACAGTACTTTGATTGGAGTGCCATGAATGTGACCATGAACACATACCTTTCAGAGTAAGGGCATTACTAAGCACTTGCAGTTTTGATCGATCGAGTGTCTTGTTGCTTTGAGTCACATGTAGAGTATGTCCCATTTAACTTCATCTACTCTTCTAAACTTGTTTGGACAGAATGTTATTCCAGATGTTCACCCAGTATTTCATCAGATGGAGGGCTGGGCATATAAAATGCTGGCTATGTAGTTGTGGTATTCATAGGACATACACAGGATGTTCTATGAATAGGCTGTTTTTGTTGTGGTGTTATGACGTCTTCTGTGTTTTTAGATAAGTGACCTTACAGGAATATCATCCAGCTGCCTACTGCTAACAGCCATTGTTGAATCTGTGAATCTTGTGAAGCTCTTTAAGGGTACAAGTAGTTTCTTCTGTCCATCCCACTGTTGTGCCTGCCTCCCCTCTGACTTCTATGTCTATGTTGTGAATGCACAGGCTTCACCGGTGTCCCTGGCTCAAGGGGCCCAGCTCCCTTGCCACCTCAACTGGTCAAGGAACGAGGCCCACCTGGCCCAGTAGGACTTCCTGGGCCACAGGGACCCATTGGAGAGACAGGCCTACATGGGCAGCCTGGAGACCCAGGTATGAGCTTAGTACTGGAGTACCAGTCCATTTTAGTACTTATTGACAGGTGCTAAAAGTTGGTTTTATTGTACCTCTTTTTCACGAAACCCTTCTAAAGGAACTCAATACATTATACAGGTCCTCGGGGCCCCCCAGGAAAAAAAGGTATGCCAGGCGTGAATGGAACACCAGGAATTCCAGGCTACCACGGGGAAACTGGATTTGGTGGCCACCCAGGTCTTCAAGGAATGGAAGGCAAGTCATGATATATTCATTCCTTTTGGTGGTAGCTGTCCTCGTAGAACATTGCTGGTTGGAGGTCTCGGTTTCTCAAATAAGTCAGTATTCATTTGGCCAACGATACAAAGCCAGCAGTACGTGGGCCACAGAATCTTCCAGAGGCAGGTGTAAGAATCAATGGTATCTCATTTGTGATCAGAATGAGCTTCTTTCACTTGAATCATTCAATTGCGCTGCATCCTTCATCAATCCATCAGGTAAAGAAAATGTGGTCTATTATGGGGTTTTGAGGGAAAAAACATTAAAGAACTATACTGAAATGTGTGAGTAAGAAGACACGTTATATATCGTTATAGATAAGAGAGAGAAACAAATATAGTCATTGGTTGCATATTTATATAATAGAAATAGAATATTTCAATAGAAAGTCAGTGGTTGGGAAAGAGGAGGCACTATGGCATCTGATTAAGGACTTTAATCAGCTAAAGACCTTGCTTCCTTTGACTTGAAAAACCACGCGAATGATTCATTTGCAAACAGGAGGCTTCACTCACTGGTTCAAGTGCAAGATGGCAGAACTGGCCTCCAAATCAGTGAAGGAGCTTCCAGTCATGGGTGTCAACATTCTTAATAATAGAAAAGACATTGAAAACAAATGTCCACATGGTAAAAAGTCAAGGATGCTTATCTTGCCAGGTTCGTAATCCAGTTTTGGTTTGATCTGTCTGATGTCTTTGTTCACTTTATGTGCTTCACCTGCAAGAGTTTTAAGTCTGCAATTCCATGCTTTGATAAACCAGGGACCTATGCGGGGGATTCTGTTTGGTCAGAGGATAAGAATTAAAAAGATTCGTTTTGTCTCTGGCTTGTACATTTCTTATAGCAGTGTTTTCCTGCTTTTGGGTCCTTCTAAGACGCACGTCACACTCTATCTTCAACCTTAAAGTCGATGGCAAGCGCAATCTGGCTTTCGTAGGTTTATATACTGGGAAATCCACTCTTCCCCTGTTGTTAGCATTCCCCTCATTCCTCGTGGAAGCATGGAATACACTCCTTCATTCTCTGTTCAGAGGGCTCTGTTCCAACTTTCATCCCTCCAGGATCCTTTGCTTCATCACAATAGGTATTTTATGTACCATAAAAGAGCTTTTGAATCCAGCTGTGAGACAATAATTGAATGAAGCTATTGGCAGTGTGTTGACAATTGTGCCACTTTAATTAGAGTCATTCTCTCCCACAGGGTCGCAAGGACGCCCTGGTAACCCTGGATTGGCAGGCATGCCCGGCCGCAGCGTTAGTGTTGGGTACCTCCTTGTAAAGCACAGCCAGTCAGAGCAAGTCCCAATGTGTCCTGTGGGCATGGCAAAACTGTGGGATGGATACAGTCTGCTGTACTTTGAAGGCCAGGAGAAGGCACACAATCAGGATCTTGGTATGATATTTTGGCTGGTAGAAAAACTTTACCTTTGGTATCATCCATCAAAAGTATGAGGAGGCTCCTGAGTAGTTCAACTGGTAAAGACACTCACTACAAGCCCAGGTTACGCTCTGTGGTGGAACAGTTCAGATCTCAAGTCTGTGTCACGTCACTAGCCTGCTATGACCACCAAGCGGTGGTGCATAATTAGCTGAGTACAATCGGGTTTAAGGATCAGATTAGTCTTCCAGTGAAACAATTCTGCAATTTCTTGGGAGTCTGCTGGCTTCTCCAGATATCATGATGGACATGCCTCTCCTCCAGTTGGTGCTGAGCCACCTGGATATCACTGCAGAGCTTGTAATGTGTCAAAAGATAAATTGCTTGATGGGTGGGTGGGTCAGAGGAGCCTGTCTGCACTTCCTCAGCCTCACCATGTGGGTGCAAGGTTCATCCATATTGACATACTCAGTTGGCAAATTGGTTGGGTATATAATAAAAAGAAGAAGATCACTTTATTAACCATATACAATTTCTTGTATTAGAAATACCCCAACTTGCTCTCCATGAGACACACAGACAAGGAGAGAAGCTTGGGGTCAGAGCGCAGGGTCAGCCATTTATACAGCACCCCTGGAGCAGCTGGAGTGAAGGGTCTTGCTCAGTGGCCCAACGCAGTAGGATTCCTCTGCAGGCTGCGGGATACAAACCGGCAACCTTCCAGTCACAGGCGCAGATCCTTAGCCACAGAGCCACTTTTATTACTAATGCTAGAGATTAATATGTAAGAAACACTCGTACATTTAGTAGTTAAGCATAGTCCAATGTGTATTCCATGTCATTATCGTGAAATTTAATGTTAAAGTCGGCAGTGGGACTGCCACATAAACTACACTAATCGTGTACTTCACATTTATTAAAAGCGTACGTGCATAGGTTCTCCAGTTCTATTGATGCTTTTTGTAACTCAGAATTTGAAACATTGCACTGTGGGATTCATACTCTTTGAATGTACAACAGGGCTCATTCTGATCCTGTTAGAAGTTGACAGAATTTAAAATACAGTAGAATGTTCTTTGTAATAAGATCTGCCCATGTAGGCAGAGAAGTTTCAAACAGTTGATGGTATCTAATACTGATTGCTATTACTTGGGCTGATTTTATAGGAATGGCAGGATCATGCCTGCCGAGATTTAACACAATGCCGTTCCTGTACTGCAACCCTGGAGACATCTGCTACTACGCCAGCAGGAATGATAAATCCTATTGGCTGTCGACGACGGCCCCTCTGCCCATGATGCCCGTGGAGGAGGAGGAAATTAAACCGTACATCAGCCGCTGCTTGGTCTGCGAGGCTCCATCCCTGGCCATCGCTGTCCACAGCCAGGACACTAGCATTCCTCAGTGTCCCATAGGATGGCGCAGCCTGTGGATTGGTTATTCCTTCCTCATGGTAAGCTTGCTACTTTCATGGTGAAAAACATTGTACAGTCTTCTTTTGTTTAGAATTTTCTGTCGTGTAGCTCCATACATCTGCAGACTCTAATTTACAAAATAACGTATTCAGTATATACATCTGAATGAAGATGCTTTATTGTGACAGACATTTCACCTGTTCATCAGTAACTTTTCATTCCCAATACCCATGATTACTTCTTGGGGAGCATAAAAATATTCATGTCCTATGAAGTACATGGATAGTCAGCCTTCCATCAAATGTCAATTAAGCTGTTAACCCCAAACCAGAATGAGTTCTCATGGAGCACCCTAACAGTGACATACTAACTGCTCAGTTTGTGTTGCATCTTCACAACCATATGAGGTGTTAACTTGTTTCTGGTTATTCTTTTTTGTAGAAACAGTCCCTTTTTTAGGGTTGTTTTCTTTTATTTTAACCTTCCTGCAAAAGCAATCTCTACTATTTGTCCTATAGATCGCATGTAAATAACGGTACAAACATGTTAGTTCTGGTTCATCTCTCTGTGGTGCTAATTGTTTCTTTGTGTCGTTGCTCAGCACACCGCTGCTGGAGATGAAGGGGGTGGACAGTCCTTGGTTTCACCTGGAAGCTGCCTTGAAGACTTTAGGACCACTCCTTTCATTGAGTGCAACGGAGCCAAAGGCACCTGCCATTACTTTGCCAATAAGCACAGCTTCTGGTTGACGTCAATAGAGCAGTCCTTCCACAGCTCACCGGCTGCAGAAACACTCAAGGCAGGTCAGCTGCTGTCTCGAATCAGCCGGTGCCAGGTGTGCATGAAGAACTTGTAACAGCACGAGCTGAAAAAAAAAAAAACAATCGGCACAAGTGTGCATTAACATTACGATTATAAAAATCAATAAAGAAAGAATGCTTTCTTTGCTCTACATTTGAAATGGTGCTTATTTTAACTTATTACCTCAGCCGTGCATTCCATATATATTAAGAAAAAGAAAGATAATCCAGATCATCCAATGAGAAAAAAATGCCCATGTCTTTATGCACTGCTTCATAATTTGTAGGATAAGCAGCTACTGCTTCATACAAAGAGAAACTAACACTACACTTATCTGGTTTTGTACTGTTTAAGAAACGTGCTCTAATATGTTCATCCTTATTTGCCTTAAGTATATTTTCATTGTTTGTTATATTATCCCAGAACCTTAAACACTTTTACCTTTTAAATAAAGAGGCAACTCAAAGCTGAGAAAAGGCTGTTGTTGTATGTATGGTTTTATACTTCACTTGCCATTACATTGTGCAGTTCCTCACAGTAATGGTTGTTTTAATACTACACTGATCTGAAGATTTTTTTTAAAACTAAAAATAAGAACTCTGCAATTAATAAATGGAAGTTCACTTTTTATTTTAAAAAAATCTTTCTGTATTAAATGCACTGAAAATCTTTTTCTGCTGCCTCTAGCCATCACCTGTATAGAGTCTTATGGTTTGATGCACGCAAGATGCAACTGCTAGAGAAGTTAATTTAAAAACTGAAGTTTCCCGGCAGTGTCATAAACATCAAACGTGAGAATGTTACTCTGTGGCCAATCTAAATATTACAAAGTATTTTTTCTATGGTTGTAATCACTATTGAGTGTACATATACCAGATCATGTTCAATAAGATTTTTGTATGTCTTTTGACTTTGATGTAATTATACTGAATAAAATATTAATTCCAACATTTGCATTTTGGTGTATGGGTTTGCCAGAAATAACTTTTTTTAATTCTTACTTCTTAACTCTGTAGCCTGGGATTTATTTTCTCTTTAACTTATTTTACAAGATAACTTGCTTTATTAGGGATCTCATACCGGGCAAAAAGAAACTGATGACCAGGATGTATGCATTCAATGAAAATAACTCTTGATAAAACATTACACTGGGCTGTGTGTAGCACTGGCATACTCCCCCTTATTTTTGCTTCATTAATTATTTTGGTGAATGAGAGATGCATCACACATTGTTGGGCCTTTTAAAATATTAGCAGGGTATGAGAACATAAAAAAAATATTTTGGAGGATCTAGGATCTGATGTTATACCAGATTCATCAACAACAAAAAAAAGGATTCCAGTTTTCAGTTTAAGAAAGGACTGCAGAATCTCACAGAGGCTGTTAGACAAATGCTGAAACATGACAGTTTTTTATGATGAGACTATTAAGTAAAGATACATTTATCTCATTTTCAACATTATGAACTTATTTAGCAGACAACACTTTGTACTTAGTGAAAGGACAATTACTTTAAAAAAAACATAAAACAAAAATGAACTGTTAGCAGTGTCAAGTACATATACAATACTTCATCAGATCTCAAAACAAAGAATCTTCTTAGTTTTCCTGTTCCTGCTAGATGCTGGTGTTCTTTAAAGGTTCTATTATAATGAAGGCAATGGACAAAATCCAGTGGTACCATTGCCATTAAAATATTCTGCTGCTGCAATCAGTTCATTACCATACATTGTTGAACTTTTTTGTCAATATAAATTGCTTAATAATTCCTTACACTTAATCAAATCACTGAAAAGCACAAAATAATCAATTTGGACATGTGAGGAGTGAGTATTAACATGCCTGAAATGGTATACACAAAAGCACATTTCTACATAGATCTGTCATGGTCAAAAAAGAAACACACTGATCATGATCACCTTTATTTTTTCAATGTTAGTGTGCAAATAGCAGGTCCTTTAAAATTTTCAATCATAAATATTTTCATAAATGTACTTAACACAAACATGACATACAAAGAGAATAGCCATACAAAATCAGTTAACAATAAAACAGACATTTCAAGGCACATTAAGTATGAAACAAAATATTGGGGGCTGAAATGAATTATATTTTAAAATGTTTTTTTCAGCAGAAAAACCTGAGTTAGACTATCTAGTGCAGCAGGTTGTTTGTAAAAGGCTCAATGCAAGTGTTTGACGATAGACCTAATAAGTGGTAAAGCAGCACCCAATTTACTTAAAACTGAAAAAAATAACTCTCAACAACAACCGAGTACTTGGATCTCCGACGTGTAATCTTAAAAGCGTATTGTAGATCATCTTATTTTATTTATCCATATTTCTATATAAATACATTCACTATTTTAGTCTCTTTGCTTGTGATGGGTAAAAAACATATCCAGTGAAGTCAGCTTCAGATTGAAAGGGAGTGATGAGTATGTGTGTTGGGGAACAGGCAGTGAAGGACCACAGTATTAACTTCACAAGGTAAGAGCTACACATGCAAGTCAGTGGAAAACTTGAATTTACCCCCAACCTTATTTCCGTATTCCCTCATTTTCACATGCAGCTGGATTTCTAAAAACACACTTGCTTGAATCTGAAAGCAGTGTGGAAAAAAAAACAATACAAACTAACCCACTCATATCCGATCAACCGCAGCATCCTAGTTTAGTCCTTTGCATGTCACTGCAGTCTTCCAAATCCACTGTATTACTCATAGCTTCAGTTTTTTTCTTTAAAATGCCAGGCACTACCATGTCAAACACCCTTTCAAAGAGCAGATCCACATTGTAGCCCGTCTTCGCACTGGTCTCGAAGCACATCGCCTCCGCCGGCGGGCTGCATTTCTCTTCCAGCATCTTGTAACGCAGGATCCGATGGTAAAGAGCCACGGCGTCTTCCGGCTGCACCTGTTTGTGCATTTTTGGAGAGGCTGGGAACTGGGCACCCGCCAGATTGCCATTACTCTCCCTCTCTTCGCCCGTCTCTGCGGCCGCAGCTTTCAGGTTGGTCAGGTCAGCTTTGTTCCCCACGATGGCGAAAATGCAGTCGGAGTTGGCCGTGTCCGTCAGGGAAAGGAATCGCTGCTCCAGCTCCACCAGGCTCTGCCAGTTGGTGACGTCGTAGGTGAGGATGACAGCGGCGGCGCCTCTGCAGTACATAGAGCCCAGCCCGTGGAACTGCTCCCGCCCTGACACGGAGAGGAAAGGAATTCGTTAGAAAGCTTCCCAACAACACAAGGACACCCTGCCTACGTTTCTGACGCGGACGCCATTGTTCTGAAAACAGGCACAGCTGGTTCAGGTCAATAACAAGACTAGAGATTTGTTCTGTCCATGGCAGTAATGGGCAAAAAAAGTCAGGTTCGTTTCCGCACCAGTTAAATAAAGCCTAAAAAACAACCTTCTTAAGACATCATCTAATTTAAATTAACTGCCAATTATGTCTAATTCACCCCTTAACTCTGGTTATCAAAATACAGAAAGGTAACATTCCAGTTTCACCATGTTGCTTTCAACATAAATTTAAAAAATGAGAAAACACCAAAGGGACATAAATAAGTAATATTTTGACACCCCATGAATTCCACTGTGTCGTGTTACCAAACTACGAAATTCAGGAAGGATGAGCACACAGCATCAGCAGTTACTGGATCTGCTGACTACAGTTCAGACAGATGTGGGCTTAAAGCTAACAAGAAGGCTTTTATACTACAGAAACAGAACTCCTATTTAATTCAACAAGGGAAAAGAGAAAGATCAAATACAGCAATCTTAAAATGTTTCAGAACGTTCCCCCTTTTCTGCCATATGGAGGAAAATGTGGTGACTGAAAGGCTGTGGTAGCTACACACAAGGGTTTGATTTCAAAATAATATGAATCATTGGGATACTAGTTCATACGGATGAACACCCCCATGAACTTTCAGAAATGTGGGTCAGCAAAGTGACTAGTGAAGCAGAAATTCACAGAACAGTGCAATATCATTTGACTCTCTTACTTAAACTTTGATCACAACAAGGCTTACCATCGGATTAAGCTTTCAAAGCCTCGGGACAAATAATTCACAGTTCTCCATCCTCTGCTTGATGGTCACTTATATTTACAGCCAGTATGACACAATGTTATAGTGACTATGACACAGGCAATTGCAAATTAATCAAAGGTTTTAAAATACTGACTAATACAATATGCTGCTTTTTAATGTATTTGTTACTTTCCAAAACACATGACGACGCATTTTTAAGAATATTGAAAAACAGGACAGAAAGGGGAGTTAAACAAAATTTCACCAGTTTCTACTTGGCAACTCCTCATCTGGACTAAAAGCCACAATGCAACATTCATTCAGGGTGCTGACACTTGTAGGCCTGAATGGATTTGTGTGGGGCCACACAGAGCACAGATCCGGCATCTAGGACAGAGACAACCAACTGTGTTCCATGAGGGCTGTCGTGTTCCAGTCCTGGAGATTTTGTAGAATTATTGAATTTCCTTCGTGAACGCCTAGGGATAATAGCAAAAGCTGCAAATTAAATATTTGCCTTGAACAAAAATCAAAAGACCTTGTGATGCTATAAAGGTACAGACCAAAAAGCCTGGATACCACTGTTAAAGCAGTAGGGAGGGTTGTCATGTTGTACTAGCTACTGTGATAAAAGCAGAGCACAGTTTGCTCCTTGTGCATGGCTATATTCTGACCAACAGAAGAGAAGTAAATATCCTATGGTCTCCTTCCCTTTATCTCCTGTGGGATTCTCAACAACAAGGAGATACAAAGAAGCACAAGGAGCCCTTAGGTGTTTTCTAAGAGTATGCAGATAAACAATGGAAGGGAGCATATTTATAGAAAGCATAAACAATATATGATAAAAATAATTGACTTCCTTTTGCTGAAATGTAATTTTAAATGCAGTTCGGGTAAAAAAATCATACTTCCTTTTTAAAAGCACGGCCCTTTACAGATCAAAACATTTTTTTTAATCGGCTGAGACTCATTTCTTTACACTCACAGGCTCTGATCATATTGTCCTAACAGTTGGAGCACACCACAGCCAGACTGTTTCAATACCAGCCCTGTCTCTAGCTTAACCATGTGAATCTGATAAGGGCCCTGTCATCAGCAACGACCCCAGGCAGTCTTTTACTGAGCCATGACTCAAAGAGCTGTGACAAACAAAATAAACATCCCATTAAAACACCACGTGTTATGAAAAAAAATCCTAGTAATGTATTGGGGGATTATTACTGTACAAGAGCTGTGAATTCTTAACATTACACAAAAAGTAAAAAGGCTTCTGTGTTGTCATGATATATCAGCTTCTAAAACTAAAGGTCAAAAATGTATTATAAACCGGTATTTAAATGAAAATTTCAACATTGCAAGGAGACTTCTGAGACCTAGACACATGGCAGCAGTCTGGTTCAATACACACACTGAAGGATGACAAATACCACATTGTGGTCCTTAAATATAAAGGAACAAAAACAATTCCAGCTAATGTATTGTGATGTATGCATAGTTTTGTCAGCGTAGATGCAAAGCTTTCCAGAATCATGTAAGCCTTCAGGCATGAAAGTCCTAAAATGCCAGTACTGAACAGACGAATACAGTAGAGGCTTACATAATGCAATCTGAAGGCACATGGTGAAGCATGTGACCTAATTCCTGGAACTGGCAAGGATATATAATGAGACTGCGAGAGCAGAGGTTAGTTCAGTTGTTAATGGACTGAATAAGAGGGGCTTTATTGCAAAGGTCTGCGTAGAGGTAAATCCCACACTAAAATATGGGAAGAAAGAAAAGAATAAGCTGTTGCCCCTTCTTCATGCAGCCCGGACACTTAATACAATTCCTCACACAAAATTCTTCATACCTCATTTCGGCAGTGAGCACCACAAATGAGTCGCTTTCGTTATGTTTTGGAGTTTGACTTCAACTAAACAGTGTTAAGAAAGAAAAAGAACCTACAAACTGATGTTCGATATACATGCAGAGCACACTACGAGCAGCTGAAGTTAATGAGAGGCCTGAGCCATTTACAAAGCACGTCTGCAAAGACAATGGCACATATTGTTAATCAAGACACAAACACCCCTACTACTACTTTCCTTTCCATAAAAAATATTCACTTGGAAATTGCATCTGCATGATTATCCCCTTCAATTAGTGAAAAACCTGAAACTTCACCCTGATCAAGTCAGACACACACAATATGAACCTCAGGTGAATTATATGGCAAAGAATGTAAAAACATATTTAAAAAATAATAATCATTAAAAGGAGATTTACAAAAGAGATCTAGATTAATTTCCTATTTTCCACACACTTTACGCAAGCTTCATTACTGTACCACCAGAAATCTCATTTCTCCCACCTCCTATTGTAAAAAATTAAATAAAAATTCAAGATTATTCATGAATATACAATTGTATCTTACATATAAATATCATTATATAGAGGACAATCAGCTGTTGTTTTTAAGAAGAAAGCTATTCAAAGTGCACGCACTTTAAATTTGAGAAAAAATATGGCTGAAATTAAAAATAAAAAAACCTATAAGAAAGCTGGAAGATTTGCTCACTCCTCATTAGGCCACAGTCCAAATCTCATTTTGGGTTTGGGAAAGCAGGTTGAGTATTATATTAACAAAAAACAGTACTCTTTCCACATTTCATCTTTTTTGAGGAAAAAGAGCTTTCTTTTCTTTATTTCAGACTATGCACCTGACCCCTCTTCATGTGACAGCTACGCTTCCAAGATGTTGGCTCTGTGGTTTGGAGTGGTTTCTTGTGACTGGTCTCTCCTTCTTGGCATGGAGGCTGGCTAAATTTGATCCTCCTTGATTCACTGGTCTTTCTGTTGGAGGCCCGTCTGACATTTGCCTGTGCTGTGGATGCCTGTCATTCACACTTGTGAATTGCTAGTTCTCAGCGGCACAGTAGGGTCATCTTCTGGATTTTCCTTCGTGCCGCTCCTGCGGTCACATGTTCCGACAGTTTCAAGCCATTCCCGGAGAAGGTTGCAACTTGCGTCACTTGTAGATTTTTCCATCAGACAGCAGTAGAAGAATTCTCCCACTTCTCGGACTTCAAACTTGGTTTTTTTATTTTATTTTGCCTTGTTTGTAAAGGTAGAGTGCCCAAACTCCAGTGCAAGTTTTCTAGATTATGAGGATGGTGTACCGTTTGTTTTTTACCTGTCCAGTATCATTCTACTCATTTGTGTAGGTCAGGGGTCTCCAATCTATTAAATGAAGAGATCTCTGGTCCTAGAGGACTGAAGATTACTTCGATTTTTTAGTAAATCGCTTGTATGATTTATCACAATGGAAAAGTTCCGTATCTTTAGAAATTAGAGAATTAAATTGGGGCTCTCCCGGACCAGGATTAGAGATCCCCAATGTAGACCCTTCAAGGTTTCACCAGTGCAAGATGAAGTACAGGAGCCATTTGGAATCATGCACACACAACAGTAAGGCAGAAGTGGGGACTCTTTGAAAATATTCCTTAGCGTCAAATATTGGTCTAGATGGGTGCAGTACATTAAACCTTTAAGGTCAGATTTTGTTGAGATACAAAATAACGGAAATTTAATAAGATACATTTATATAGTCTCCTCCCTTTTCATATTCCTAAATGTATACATCTTCCTTCTTTTGAACGTATATAGTTTTGTTAAAAAGTTATATAATTGTAAAAAATAGGGGAACAAACAGGAATTTGTGCCTGTGATGTAAGGCTGAATAATGACTGTTCAAATGTAAAATGGTTTTGCTTTGTTCTCTAAAATAAAAAAAATAAATAAAAAAGAAAATATTCCTTTGCAAACGTGAGCACCAATCCCAAACCACCGGAGACACAGACACCTACAGAAGTAATTGGAAATGACTGGGAATGACCGGGCTTTCCACCCTTTACTTCTAATGGTGTCCACAAGCTCCTCGTACCTTGATTTTTGTTTCCTCTCAAAACCTTCTTGGCACCTTTCTTTTCAGGAACTGTCAATTCAATGAGGATTATAGCCTTCCTCTGGGAGGACGACAGGACTACATCCGGTCAAAGGTTTGTCTGGAAACACAAGTCGCTTGTCTAGTTCGACCTCCATTGACCAGTCTCTGCTGAAGTGTCTTTGAAGGTTGCCAGCAGGTCTAGCTCCAGCTGGTGCTTTGCTCTTTTCACAATACATGTAACGGGCATATTCTGTGACAAACTCAGAAAACCTAAGAGAGGCACCGAAGACTTTGAAGCAAATGGGTTTAATTATTTTTAGAATAATTATAGAATGGTTTCGATTCTCAGACTTGTCAGAATTACACTCCGTATTCTAATTCTAAAATCACTGGTAATTTCTATGAATGCAAAACATTAAAAGATTTTTTTTTTTTACTCAATCTTGTGATTTGCCTTTCCCAAAACAGATGACAAAGTGTTGAGACAGTCAATTCTTTGCAAATACATTCCCCGCCTTACTCAATCAGTATAGATAACATTATTGTGAAACTGAGTTAAGAGTTTCCAAACCAACCTACTACAGAATGCAAGTAAGGCTGTGTGGCTAAATCTGTGTCAAAGATACATACAGCACACAGAGCACAAAAAGCACACAACAATGTAATTCTCTTTCATTTCCCCATTCAGGACAAAGAAAAGCACAGCACTTAAACCTTTATCAAACTTCAAGTTCGTCACCACAAACTTCTCTTTTACAAAATTTACATAATGTTCTCATAAAATGCATTAATAAGCACTTAGACATTAGTGTTCTGACTAGTATTTTTAAGGCAAAAAGACAGGTAAAATGTTATCCATGTAGCTGGAACATTTAATCACTGATAGTCTGAAAGAGAAAAGCATGATTATAAACCTGAACTCCAACGATTTATCTACTTTCCTTACAATAGTTTCCCAGCCAACTGCTATCCAGAAGTTTTTTATCCAACATGCAGTATAATGCAGTATACTGTTTTACAGTTGATGTTCCACGTATGTTTTCTAGTATAGTAGTTGTTACACTTGTACTGTACATACAAGTGGAACGTTTTTCAGAATGATTAGTCTAATATGATTACAGAAAACAATATTGAGGCACTACAAAATGTAATTACAGCAAAGCTAAAGCACAGCCGTCTGAGAAGTTATTCTCCCTAACACTGAGATAACAATGATTCCACTACGTCTTTAATTTGTACGACAGAAGTTCAGCTTCTTCCTCATTTATCAGCCGTCAGGCCTTAACAAAATATTTTACAGGATCCTTGGACATAAACATCTTTTTATATACTGAACAGTTTTAAAAGCACGAAAAATGGATTGACAGAGCCTTTTCAATTCAAATACTTATTAAAAAACGTAAAATATTTATCGGACTTCTTTATCTCTTTTCTAAGCAGTTTTACAGAACCAGTGACCTTACAGGTAACGTTTTTTACACTAGGTGTAAAGAACATTCAAGAACATGATCAAAAAGATGATTGAAAAAGATGGAAATAAATGGTAAAGTAATCTCTATAGTTTTTCTTACACAGCGAATCATTTTAACTGACTTAGAAGTGTAATAATATAGTAGTTTACTCTGGAACACCCATACCTGACCTTGAAAATAAAATAGAGTACAGTGTATTTTTAAATATATATCATACATATATCCAAAGTAAATCCACTAATTTACAAGTTAAAGAATACTGAACATTTAAAGTGAATCTAATACACAATTCAATTTGAAACTCGTTTCTTTTCCAAAATCATAAAAGGTGCGACTTTGTTTACAGTAAAGGAATGTTCATGTGATCAACTAAGATTTATTACCCTGGCCAAAGTACAGTATATTGCAGAACAAATCTCGAAAACTAACGTCTCCGGTGAATCCTGTAAAACCCACATACTGCGATAATCCTCTTTGTCAAACACATGATAGTACTTGTATTATCCCAACAGTGCTATCGCAAGGTTCCCATTAAATTCACTTAGAGGATACATTCCACCTACAGGAGAATCCGAAACTTTTAGATCTCTCCAAAGCGCATCAGATCCCTAATTTCGAAATTCTTAATCCTTCTCCACAACTAAAACCAAAAAGTACGTTTTCTTCGGCAAAACAATTCTGCGAATAGATTTTTCCACGAAAAAAAAAGTTTCAAAACAAAAATCAATCACATCAAATATTGACTTCACGTTTCAAATCTATATTGTCTTAGAAAATTTAATAAAAGCCACGTAATTCGATTACCAAGTAAATACTGTATTTCTTCGTCTTACTGGGAACAAACACAGCACTTATGTAGATTTTAATGCGTACAAGTAGATTTTATCTACTTATCACAGACGGTAAACTCGGAAGTAGAGTACAAATGGACTAAAGAAAATAACAAGCAACATCTACACATCCTAAATTAATTGTATATAAAAAGGTAATAGGGGTTACCTGCTGTGTCCCAGATTGAAATGTTATACGGCCCCCACTGCTTCAAGAAGAACGCCCCTCCGACAGTGCTGATAGTGTCTTTAAACTTCCTTTCAATGTACCTGTGCAACAGAGAGGTCTTACCGACATTCATGTCCCCCAGTATAACCAACTTCACATCAGGCTTTTTCATTTTCGCTCATTCAAACAAGAAATCTCTTCCTGAGCCCCTCGGTAAACATGAGCAGGTTCCGCTATAGCGTCTGTTGTTTTATTAAAAATAAGACGGCTGTTCCTTTGCCTTGTTGCAGGCTATCAAACATACCTAGCAAACCTCCTCGTCTAAAAACTGTTGTAATAAAGGCTGCCCGTTCGTGTTGTCATATGAAGAAACACTTTATTAAGCAGTTTATCATTTATCAAGTAACCTGAATATCCCAAAGTGACGTCCAAGGAACTTTTGTAACCAAATTCGTCAGCAGGCATGAAAGTTGGAAGTTAACTCATATTGATGACGAAACAGGAAACTGTTGTAAAATGTAAAATATGCCCAATTTGTGGTAGATTTACGCATACTTCAGTCTGTTCATTTGTTCACTCTTTGAAATCAAGTATCTTTCTGCTGATTGATAGGAGTGTGTGATATTGTGCAGAAAGCGTTTTTGAAAACTTTCATTTCAATTGTTTTAATGTTTTTTTTTATTATTTTCAGAGACAGTGGAGAAGCCCGACCCCTAGTTGAGATAGTTACGCACAACCATCGATGAATCGATGTGTTGTTAAGAGCAGTCTATGTTCGAAATTGTCAATACACTATACCCCCATTGTTTTGAAGTATTTATTATAATATATCTAATATTTATAATAAGATTTGTATTTCTGATTTGAAAGCAAAGCTTGCAGGTTAGTAACTCAGCACAATGTGCATCTCTTTATTAAACCAGGAAGAAAGGAAGAAGCAGACGATTGTGCAGCATGTATCAATCGCTTGTATATTGATTACAAAATGCTTCTCATATTAGAGGGAAAGTAATTAGTTCATGCAACACTAAAGCGGAGCGCATGCCTTGATAATACTGTATGTAGAAGCCAGAATACTCCTGCAACCCCACCGCACGGAAACTCAGAAGGGAGAAATAATTTGAGCAATTGAAGGACCCCTTTCAGCGAAGCCAGATCGTGTTTCGCTAACGGAATTCAGTGAGAATAGTAGAGTTAACACCCCGAGTCTTGAGTATATTTGCATAGGATTTTAAATGACAAGGGAGTCAGCCCCTTAGCATCTCATCTAAAGGACGGAACGTCCTAGACCAGAGCACACATGATCATGCTGGTGATTTGGTGTGGAAATTCAGGTCCAGAAGGAAAAACGCCACCTACTGGTGTGCCAACTTCTCACAGCAGTAACGTGGTTTGCTTTACGTTCTTTCATCTTAGTACCAACTGCACACAGTATAAGATCACTTTATAAGATCACAGTATCAGAATTTGTCTTTACAAGTACCCCAACTTGCTCTCCATGAGACACACAGACAGGGAAAGAAGCTTGGGGTCAGAGTGCAGGGTCAGCTATTTACATGGCACCATGGCAGTTGGGATGAAGGGCCTTGCTTAGGGGCTCAACGGAGTAGGATTCCTCTGCCAGTTGCGGGATACGAACCGACAACCTTCCAGCCATAGGTGTAGATCCTGAGCCACAGAGCCACCACACCGCCATACATGATGTACAGCTAGCCATACACTATATGGTTAGCTTCTGTGGTCTAAAGACATCAGGCAGCAATCTGGACTTTCTCCGTATAGTAAAAAAAAAACACTTTTTTGTCCAACAGCAATAATAATAATAATAAAAATAATAATAATAATAATTTGCCAGCAGCCATATCACCCAGCAATTCACAACTGCCAACCCCCTGAAGCTCAGCAGGTGTGAGCCTGGTCAGTACCTGGATGGGAGACCTCCTGGGAAAAACTAAGGCTGCTGCCGGATAAGGTGTTAGTTGGACCAGCAGGGGGCGCTAACCCTGTGGTCTATGTGGGTCCTAATGCCCCATATAGTGACGAAGACACTATACTGTAAAAAGGCACCGTCATTCGGATGAGACGTAAAACCGAGGTCCTGACTCTCTGTGGTCATTAAAAATCCTAGGGTGTTTCTCGAAAAGAGTAGGGGTGTAACCCTGGTGTCCTGGCCAAATTTCCCATTGACCCTTACCTATCATGGCCTCCTAATAATCCCTATCTATAAATTGGCTTCAGCACTCCTCCCCACTGATAGCTAATGTGTGGGGAGCGTTCTGGCGCACTATGGCTGCTGTCGCATCATCCAGGTGGGGCTGCACATTGGTGGTGGTGGAGGGGAGTCCCCATTACCTGTAAAGTGCTTTGAGTGGAGTGTCCAGAAAAGTGCTATATAAGTAAGCAATTATTAATATTAATTAATAATAATTCCTTACATTTATATAGCACTTTTCTGTCCTTACTCTTTTCAAAAAAACACCCTGGGATTTTTAGTGACCACAGAGAGTCAGGACCTCAGTTTTACTTCTTATCCAAAGGACAGTGCCTTTTTTTTTTTAACAGTATAGTGTCCCCGTCAGTATACTGGGGCATTAGGACCCACATAGACCACAATGTGAGCACCCCCTACTGGCCTCTCTACCAGCAGCAACCTTAGTTTTTCCCAGTAGGTCTCCCATCCAGGTACTGACCAGGCTCACACCTGCTGAGCTTCAGTGGGCTGCCAGGTGTAAGCTGTGAGTTGCAGAGTGACATGGCATAAGCAGTAGCACTAGTTTACAACTCCAGAGATTCTCCATATAAATATCCATACACAGTATATTCAACCGTTTTGTCTTTTTAATTGCTTCCCCACTGTCTAGAAGATGTAAATGATGTGTCGAAATAAACACCGAAGTCTTTTTCATACTGTAAGTAGCCTTTTCTACCATGTATAGTTTGGGTCACAACATTATATACAAGACAGAGCTGTTCTGGAATCTGTCCAGAGAAGAAAAACCAGATACATTCTGCAGTTTAAGGGACTGTAATACACTGTAAGATTGTAGAAACTAAATATTGAATTGAATTCAGCATGGAATAAACCTATTACTTGTTCCTTTGCAGCCTACGCATGCTGACGCAGCTACCCACCTGAACTACTATATATATTGCCTTTGATATTTTTTAAGTTACTTGGACCAATTTAGCAGATTTTTCCAACTCTTCAGATGACCTAAAAACCTACAGCAGATAGACCCAGACTCCACGACCAGCATAAAGGCCGGTTCAGCTGTTGTCTTTAAGTTATCCGTCCATGATAGGCCGTCAGATACCGGCTCCCCCAATTAGAAATAAACGGCTTAATGGGTGCACGAAAATCATTCCGCAGGTACTTGCTTCTGAGCTCTGAGGTGCAAACACTAGGGGGCAACAAGCGAGGAAAATCGTATTTAAGTCATTTTCTTGTGTTGTTATTGTCAGACAGTCACAGAATGTTTGACATTTCAAGAAAGGCTTGGTGTAATAGAAGTAATCTTGTACGCATTTTTAAAAAATCGTGAACAAAGCTGTTGCACTTCGGCTCCGGCGTCTTCTTGGTGCATGTTAACAAAGCTCTGGAGAATAACCTTTGAACTTCGGACCTTCGCTCGCTATGATTGGCTGTGTAGCGTTATGTACATTAATAACGTGAAACGCTCTTGTGTATTTCATACAGCTAGCTTCCTGTTTTCTGTGTAGCTTTTTTTCATCCCCCTCACCCACCCCCCACCGGAGCAGCACCCTTATGATTCACACAAGCCGTTTCTGTGTTGTTATAGCTGGATTAAGTCGCGGTCGCTCAGTAGGTAAGCAGCGTGCGAGGCCCTGGAATGTCATGTCCCGGAACAGAGCGGCGACAAAGTGTAGCCGTGCAATGGGGAAAGGGGTCTGTGGCCACTTGCATTGTGGCAGTGCTCACCGCGGTTGCCGTTTCGCTCTTCTATTCGCACGAAGGAGGTAAAGTTGTAGTTTGCCTTTTGCAACTCGCGAGACGTAAAATATCGATTTGATCACGCCCGCAGTTCAGCCACCCGCCCGAACAACTCGTGTCCACACTCATGTATCGGTTTTTTTTTTGTTCTTACAAGAAAAACGCGAACCCACCTTCAAGTCGTTAGAAAGATTCCCCGTGTCCGTGATATCTTGAAATCTTAATCTTCGCAGAATGTTTCCAGGACAATTACAGCCCACGCATTAAACACATTGAGGCGTTGTACACCTGGCACGGTTAATTTATTTTTCGCTTTTGATGTAACAACCTACTTGATGTGGCATAGTTTTTAACTGAAACGATCTTCGATCATTTCTCCGTCGCTTTCTCTTATTTTTCTCCCAAAGCGTGAAAAACCGTACATTGTAACGGTGTGTGCTTAAGACCCATCGGACATCCCGATATTTAGTGTAATTCTAATGATGTAGTACACCCAGTGTCAGTGACGTCTTCCAGTCAGCACACAGCAGTTGTAAGCAGCTTTGCTGAGTCGTGGGTTAATCTTCATTGTGCAGAAATATGGTTTGAAACGTTACGGCTCGAAGCGAGTCGACTTCTTCGCCTGCTGGTCAAGGCGATGTGAACGAGAGAGAAAAAAACGAATTTTCTGATTTCGGAAAGAAAAAAACCCGAGGCCCGATTTGTGTGGACTACCATGGAGTGCGCCTGTATGCAAATTCAGATGCGCTCCATGTAACTTTGCCCGTCGTCTTCTGGCTCGTTGGTGCGGCTGGAGGGGTTATTTTCTTCTTGAGCACCTACCGTGCTCGCTGGCTTCTAACTATTATGCTAGCAAACACAAGGGGGTTCTTGTGGTCAGACGTGGAGACCAGAGCCTTGCTGGACATCTGGGGTGAGCAGGATGTGCAGACGGCGCTGGACGGAAACTTTCGGAACAGTCATGTTTACCGCGATGTCGCTTGCAGGCTGGGGGAGATGGGCTTCGACAGGACACCCGAGCAGTGCAGGATACGCGTGAAGGGGTTAAAGAGGCAGTACTACCAGGCCAAGGAAGGCATCAAAAAGAACGGACACTACCGCAAGATCTGCAAGTTTTATGACGAGATGGATAGGATACTGAGCAACAGACCCCACATCGACCCGCAGGACATGATCGATAGTGTGGCCATAGGGGACGAAGCAATGGACGGGACGGAGGAGGAGGGTGAAGGCATTGACCACCCGCAAGAAGCCTACGGAGAGAGCACCGGCGAGTGCTCCTACACTGAGCACCCGGTGAAGCTAGAGTACCCGTCCTTTCCGATTCCCGTGCCGGTGAGCAACAGTGCCAGTAAGTACCGCTTCTGTCGAAACTGCAGTTAGCACAGTTTACATTCTGACTTGCCCTGCTGCCGGGTCATTGATGCCTTTTAGATTTTAAACAGCAAAGGCAGGCAGAAGAATGTTCATTGCACCCGGACGCCTTGCGCCTGCCCTTCTCGATGTGATTTGTGATCGATAGTGTAAATTCATGATTGGTAGCCGTGAATGATTAAAAGGCTTGGGTTTTCGTTTTCTTCAGAGGTAAAAACAGTAGCGGCAATACTCTTTGTTGTAGCTTGACAGAACAGCTATGACATACGAGATATTGCAATGAATGAAATCATAATTCTGATCAAGAAAGCAACAAATACGTCATAATCTACCAGCTATTATCGGGTGAGATGAGACCTGTTAGCTTGCCACAATGAACTGAACAGATGCAACCTTACCTCACTACAGTGCTGTGGTGCTAACAGGGTTCTTTAAAAAGACTGGGCACCAAAGTGAAGACCATTCTTACACTTTAAAGTAGGAATGATTTTTACGGAAAACCTTGTGAATATGAGTTACATGGTTCTGGTGTACTACTGTACGTGGCTGTGTACAGTACTCATGTTTTTTTTCCCTGTTTGGTTTCTTCTAAGTTTTAACCACAATTAAATTAAAGGGTTGGGAATGATTAAGTGACAAAATTAGACACTGAATTGACTGTCATCTGTGGGCTGGCTTTAATTCAGAGTAGCCTAATTCAGAGTTAAAATATTTTAAGTTTCTGGACAATTGCCCCTTTATCTGGTTTCATGCAAAACTGCAATTTTATTGCAGTGGGTTAGGGTCAAGAAAAGGACTACATGTAAGCTGTCAGAAACATGTCCATTGAAGCTACTCTACTTAAAGTGATTAGAAAATGAAAAACAAAGCCCCAGATTGTGCTATTTAAAAGCTTTGCCTTTGCCGAGTTGAAATATAATAAACTGTTTTAAAGGGGAAAATTGCAGTTGGCACACACTTCCTGCAAGTTATAGCTGGGTTGAGAAAAACAGAGGACAGTTAGCATTCAGGTCTGTTGTAGTTATCTTCTTGCAGGGACTGCCTAAGTGAGACCTTAGAGAGAGAATGGAAAAAAAAACTGTTCTATAATCTGCTTCTTTGCATTGAGCCTGTTGCCAATGTACCTTTGCAATGGATGAGGGGTTTCGGTTCTTCCAGAAGAAGACAGTGGAGCTTCACCGAACGTGCTGGAAAGGCGAAGGCGTAGGTGCCTGCTGGTTAGCTCGGCTTTGCTGTGGTCTTTCTGAAAGTGAGAAGCAGGCCCAGCTGTGCGGACTGGGAGCCGTAATCGTGTCGGTGTTTTTGTTTTGGTGTTGCAGGCGTGGGACAGAGGCAGAACCACGTCCAGAACAGTACCCCTGCTGCCACCCGCCCAAAGAGGTCCAAAAAGCGCTACGCGAACCTGTCGCTGGACAAGCTGATGGAGAAGTTCCTGGAGCAGAGCATGGAGGCCGAGGAGAGCTTCTATAAGTACGAGGAGCAGCGGCTCAAAGTGGAGGACAGGCGGCGCGAGGCGGAGCACGCCCGGGAGCTCCAGATGTTGCAGGTGCTGGGGCAGATGTTTGCCGGCATTGCCAGTCCTGCCGCCCCGCACCCCCAGACCGCGCCCTGCGCCCCTCCGCAGCGCCCCCACAATCCCCAGCCTGCAGGCTGTTCTAATCAAACTGCGACACCGGGCCCAGCCCAGGCCATAGGTACCTCTGCTTTCATCCCGCCTCCTCGCCGCAGGAGTCCCAAAAGTGAGCGGTGGGCCAGCTGTGGTGGCAGGATAGCCGTGTGTGTGGAGAAGACGAGCGCCGGCTTGTCGCGGTGCACGGTTCTGTCTGACTTGAGCGCATCGAAGTCTCGCGACCGTATTGCGTTGGGAGCGTTCTTTGCGTGTTGCGGCGGACCGGTGTCCTCTCCAGGGCGTCGCCCTGCCTTGCTCCCTGTGCTGCTGGGATAGGCTACAAGTTTGCCGCCATACACGCCCAGAAATGAGTGGCTTTCTGATAATGGGTGGATGTTTCTGTTCATTAAAATGTTTTGTTTTGTTTTGTTTTGTTTTGTTTTGTTTTTATAAATCGCACATCGTAGATAGTTAAGGGATACCTCCTGGGGGTTATTCAGAGCCGTTGATTGTAATAGTGGATGTGAAAAACACTGGAGCATCAAAATCTGTTGGTGGCTGTGGGGTTATTAGCTTGTGAAACGGTTTGGCCACGATGTCACCAGGTCAGTGGGCACAGAGTGGTCATGTTCTTGTGTCAGGGGGCACTTTCTTACGGTGCAGATACGGTTCGGTCAGGCCAGCTTTGAAAGGGATCTCTGGGATCCCGTCTGTGGCTGAGATGTCTTGCAGCAGGGAAAGTCGAACTCCTGGATACTGTGGCATAAGTCCTCACACTGTACTGAGAGTAGGCCAGTTGTTGTTAGCACCTGAATTAACACCTTAAATAATAAATATTGATCCCCCTTTGCTTAATTAGACTTAACTCCCTAAACTAAGGAGAGGTTAAAGGCCCAGCAAGTCTGTTTTCAGTTTTTAAGTATAAACTTAAGATGACTAGAGAGACTTTTTTATGTCTGACATTTCCTATAATCTCATTGTAATTTTCAAAGGTCCATGTATTTGATATTATACACTGCTTCTGGTGCTGTCAGATCTAATGCTACTTTTCTGCATAAGGCTTAATAAACTTTCTGTTCCATTTCTTTTCCTCTTCCATCTTGAAAATACTCCGACACAACTGCTCAGTTGCAAACACGTGCCACCGAGCACTTGTTTCCTTACAAAAACATTTAGAGGGAAGTGTCGCAGTGCCGATTCTTATTAGTGCAAAGTGCCCTTGCAGCAATGACAAGTCCTAACACATATAAATTCTTAAACAGAAGGGAAATGTGTTATTTTCAGGTTTTTGAAGGAATAGAACAAGTCAAACAATATTGCAGAGAAGACAAGCAATAAATACATCGGTTAATGACTTATCTATAAAAACCATGGCTCTAGATTAAATTTTCATTTACCTGCTTGACTGCTTAATTCCTAATAAGGATTAAGCTGTTCTTTCAGAATATTTTTTCTGAAATGTCATCTAAAACCTGCAAGCAAATTTGAAGGCTTCCAAGTGGGCCTTTAGCTGTGTGAATGAATTGACACTATTTTGATGTATTGTAATTGACATTTCATCAAGCAGATGATGATCCAGTGTGGGTGTGGAAATTACTCCAGGTCCATTTCATTGTGATGTACAAATCTAAAGCAACTTTAGTTGTTCATGAAAGCTGGGTTAATCGGACAAACGGTTCTATAACAACAGTAGTTTGTGTTATGAGCTGAATAGTGCTGATAAAAAAGAAATAGTTGTCAAGGAGCCATCTTGATGCAGATAAGAAAACAAATTTCACATTTGCATTCATCCTATTTGGAATAAAATTCTAACTGTAAAAGTTGGCGTTATCTGATCCCACATTTTGCACAGTTTTTGAGCAGGAGCAGTTTGTATGACGGGTCACATTTCTCAAAATGGTTTATGACCTGTCAAGAGTGCAGAAATTATCATCGGAACTTTTCAGTGCAAATTTGGTATTGATAAAATCGGCTAAGTTTGCAGGGCAAAGGTATTTGACCAGCAATGTCAAAAGTGGGAAGAAAAAAGATCAGACAATCGCTAAAGGCTTTCACTGTTTGTGAAAAACTAATCTTATTATTGCACGATTAAAATAAAATAATTGTCAAAGCATTAATCAGTTTTTACATAAGAGTCTCACAATAAAAGCATTCTTCAGATTGCACTTCTTTTCTATTGACAAGTGCTTAAAGCCTATTTCATCAGTCTAAGCAGATGAAATTACAGAAATAAGGAAGGTAGCCAACAAGATGAGGCCATTTGAAGCCTCTAGCAAATTATTTTCTAAACTCAGTATCTTCTTTGGGAATATAGTTCTAGTAAACGTGTAAGTGTAGATTTAAAAATAAATGTACAGTAAAAGAACAAAATGCTAACCAAAGAAATAACAAAAGTTTTAAAAAAAAGCAAAACTCAGTCTTCTTAATATTGCCCCTATGTGCTTGTGTATTCCATATATGCTTGCTTAGAAGAATATTGGCTAAGACCCTTTTCCTGTCTCGGTCTCTGACCTGTTCGCCATGTTTTGGCTGATGTTCTTCCTCAGACTGTGCACATTTCACAGAAGCCTTGATGCCTTCCTCTACATGTATTAAGACAAGGAATACATGAGATGTGTTGGTCTTTAAAGAAAGAAACCACATAACTGTGCTTAAACAAAATGGGGCATAACGTGTATTGAGTAATTTTTTGAAAAAAGAAATGGGATAAAATAAAAACATTGAAGTTACATACATGTTGTTGCCTGTATGTAATGGGGCTCAGCGGTGCTGAGTATGTTACAGAAGTGATGTCATTCCTCAAAGCACAAGTATAGCTGAGGTCACTGCCGTCTAGAGAGTGGCTCTGTGAGTGCAGTGAAGCCCTTGAGTAACCAGGATCGAATCCTGCCAGAGCAGAGATGCACCTGGCAAACTTACGACCAATGCTGAGACTATGTAGCTCAGCTCGAGTTGAAATGAGCTGGGGAAGTACTCTCACATCTCTTTTGTACATTAGAGGGGGAGAACCACCCCAGGCCGTTGAAGCCAGGGTCTGGTTGGTTTTCATGCAGCCTGAGCTCATCTTGGCTTTTACTGATCAGTTTTTTACTGATAGCTAACTCAGTTACATTTCCAGAGTTATAGACCAAAATAATTTAGAAATATGTTTATAAAACCTTTGTCTGTGGCTTTCCAGGATCGAGGCCTGGCTGTTTCTAACATACGTGTGTCAGGTAAAGTGTGCTACTGTGTTTTACAATAAGGTGTGCCAGTGCATAACGTTTAGAGTTTTAAATGTTAATCAGTTTTAGGTACAGATCTCTTTTCCTCCTCGAGTGTTCATGAAAGCATTGGTGATACCTACTACCTTTCGGTATTTCCCTCTGACAATTAGAAAGACAGTCTTGGTAAGATTTAGTAAGGTAAGAATTGCCACTAATAAGAGACAGTATTCTTAACTGCCAATAAGAAAAAAATAAAAAAGGTCAACTAGTTTATTGACCTCGGTAGCACTGTACTCAGTGGTTAATTTCTGAGTATACGGTACTCAGTCCTGATCAGTATTAGTTTGTCTCTGTAGCTTACCTGTCTCTGCAGCAAAGTGAGGTCAGACTATTTCTGTTTCTTTTCCAGTAATTGAGCGAGCCTTCTCACTTAGAAGTCCATCACCGAGGAATATGGAAAATATGATTCCGCTTGTGAAAAATATTATTCCTCCTTGGACTTCAAAAAAACATAAAGGCCAGGATGGAAGAGTTGGTATCATAGGAGGATGTCAAGAGTAAGTTGACTTACTATCTCCAAATTAAAGGGAAACATGAAAGCCGGAATTCCTTCATAATGAGAATGACTTCACCTTGAAACACCTTTCAAAGTCCAGTCTTCCTGTTTTAATATATAGAATTTATATATTAATATATTATATATTTATATATTTATAAGGTCAAATCACAGTTTTTTTTTTCCTGTTTGTAACCCTTCTGAATAGCTAGCTGTTCTGAATAGCCTGCTAGCCCTGCAACACATCAGTATGCACTGGGAGAAATTAAAGGCACGTGTTGTCCAGCTTAACCTTGGTACAAGTTTTGCATATGGAACTGGAAGCAATAGGATACGATTCTATTAAAAAAATAAACTATTAACATAAATTAGTGACTGTACATGTATCTGCTTTCAAGAGTTTAGATCCTGATTTAGGCAAAATTGTCCATGTACTATGTTTGGAGTATAAATAAATATATTTGTTAAAAGCAAAAACTATTCCAGAATATCTGGAAGTTATGTAAAATTACTTTAAGATTCTGCAGGCTCTGACCTGCATCAGTGCAAAGAAGTTCCTGAAGCAATGCAGACCAGAGCAGAGGTGGCTTTCTCTGTATTGACGATCATCTCATGATTGTGTTTGATAGCTAACGCAAAGGAAGCATTAGCTTCATTACAAAACAATAAAACGTCTAGACATTTTTAAGTTTAATAATAATAATTCCTTATACTTATATAGCACTTTTCTGGGCACTCCACTCAAAGAGCTTTACAGGTAATGGGGACTCCCCTCCACCACCACTAATGATGCAATGGTAGCCATAGTGCACCAGTATGCTCCCCACACATCAGCTCTCGGTGGGGAGGAGAACAGAGTGATGAAGCCAATTCATAGATGGGGATTATTAGAAGGCCATGATTGGTAAAGGCCAGGGGGAAATTTGGCCAGGACGCCAGGGTAACACCCCTACTCTTTGAGAGAAACACCATGGGATTTTTAATGACCACAGAGTCAGGACCTCGGTTTTACATCTCATCCGAAGGACAGTGCCTTTTTACAATATAGTGTTCCGTCACTATACTGGGGCATTCGAACCCACACAGACTGCAAGGTGTGCGCCCCCTGCTGGCCCTACTAACACCTCTTCCAGCAGCAACCTTAGTTTTTCCCAGGAGGTCTCCCATCCAGATACTGACCAGGCTCACACCTGCTTAGCTTCAGGTTGACAGTTGTGAATTGCTGGGTGATGTAAATTCTCAATAACTAGCTGTGACTATAATATATATAGATGAGCATGACCGATGCATTAACAATGTCTTTTGTTCTTTTAAAAAAGGTACACGGGAGCACCATACTTTGCAGCTATTTCAGCACTTAAAGTGGTACGTTCACGAAAAATCTGAAGAAATCATTTCCTTCACTTATGCAGATGTACAGTAGAACTTATACTTTCCTTGTTTTATTCTGTTCCAGGGAGCTGATTTGTCACATGTATTTTGTACCAAAGATGCTGCAACTGTAATAAAATCCTACAGTCCAGAGCTCATAGTACATCCAGTCCTGTAAGTTAAGCTCAGTTTCCTTTCAGTACTTTACAGTCGACATTAGGGATTGTTTTTTTCCTTCTTATTATAATGGAGGAAATTTAAACATAAGCAGCTGATTTTAATCTGTCTGAGGACTGAAAAAAAACATTTCAGAAAATAAGAAACCTTATATAAAACCAAAAGCCTTATGACTTTTAAGAACAGTACTAAAGTGTGAAGCACTAAGTGGGTAGTTTTATCCTACTGCAGGCTACCACTGTTTTTTATGTAAGCAATACCTCGATCTATGAGGGTCGCTTGGTATATTTAATAGTATAAAAACTCCAGTATTGATTTTGGGGAAATAGTGAGTAAGACAATCAAACCATCCAGGGAGAGGGGAAAGCTCTTGGATGATGTAGCTGAGACCCCATGGGGGCCAGTTTGGTACAGGGTCTCTGCAATGAAAGAAATTAATGAATTTAGTTCTTATACTTGTTAATGCACTGTTGTCTCGGATATTTTTGAACTGGAAGGCCGTAGGTAGATTCTCATGCTTACTGTATGTCTGCGTCTTATCTGGCTGGTTTATTTTTCAGCGACAGTCCCAACGCAGTCGCAGAAGTGGAGAAGTGGCTGCCCAGGCTTCACAGTGTCGTTGTCGGACCAGGCTTGGGCAGAGACGATAAGCTCCTGGAAAATGCTAAGGTACAGCTCATGGAATACAAAATACACAGCGCTGTAGGGCAAAGAGGTGCTTCCAGAGTACTGTTCTAAAGAAGGGACACATGATTGAAGAGAATTTATATAATGTGGAAAACCTGTTTTTGTTTCTTCCAAACCTGATGAATCTGACTTGTGTGAAACCCCAAATGCACCTTGCTCAATGTTTATTTACATTTTAGGAACAGAAAGAGGTTGCACACAACATCCTCATCACAGCACTTTCAATAACCTCTTTGAATTCAGGGTCAAGGTGACTCAGAGCCTCTCCCATCACACAGACACAAACACGCTCACACTCACAACAGGGCCAGTTTTCCCGTTATGTCTTTGGATAGTGAAGAGCGAGGAAAGTGAATCATCCGAAGACACCCCATGCAAAGACGGGGAAAACATAAAAACTCCATGGAGACAGAACCCTAGGAATTGAACGCAGGGCCCCAGTGCTAACCGCTGTGCTAAAGTGTTGTCCATCTTGTTTTAGATTTTTTTTATTCAGTTCATAATATGGAATTAAATCTGTTAGATAGTTGCCGTTCCACAGCTACAAAATAACGTTTAATCAAATACTCTTTTCCTCCGTCTTTGAGTAAACCTGTAGCTGGTAATTCTTTTTCGCCACAGTTCAAAGGCTAGTTAAAGGAGATTGTCATTTAATTCTAGGGCATCATAGAAAAATCCAGATCGAGAGGTATTCCAGTCATCATTGATGCGGTAAATCCATATTCCTTTTTTATAATAAAATTGCAAATGTCCAAGTGTAGTTTGTGAGTTCTCACCTGGTGATTCATTTATTTTCAATAGGACGGATTGTGGCTTGTAGCACAGCAGCCATCAGTCATTCAAGGCTACCAGATGGGTATTTTGACTCCAAATTTCATGGAGTTCAGTCGGCTGTATGAAGCAATGGTAAGCATGGAACTGTGTGATGTGGATGAGGTGCCTCTTCATGTAGTAAGTAGGGGAAAAGCTTGTTGCTAATTATGAATGTTACATGAATTCAGTCCAAATAATAATAATAAACTTTATTTTTCATAGTGCCTTTAAAGGTGGCTTACAGAATGACAATAACAATAGAAAAATACACAAGAATGTACGATGAGAATGCACAATGAGAGGAGACAGTAGATGGAGGTTCTGAATACAGTAGGAGCAGAGGGTTTAGAACAGGACCAGTTAAGGAAAGGCTCTTCTAAAGAAGGAGGTTTTCAGTCTGGATTTGAAGGAGTTTAGAGAAGGTGACTCTCTGATATCCTTGGGGAGAGATTTCCAGAGCTTGGAGGCATAACAGGAGAGGGCTCTGTCACCCATAGAGCGTAGACAGGCTTGGGGGACAGTTAGGAGACCAGAATTAGAAGAGTGAAGGTTGCGAGTTGGAGAGTAGGACGATAGTAGCTCAGACAGGTACTTAGGTGCCTCAGTGAGCATGAGGATTTTGGGGTCGACATGAAACTTGACAGGAAGTCAGTGCAGGGACTCCAGGACAGGAGTAATGTGATCACTTGCGCTAGACCTGGTCAGGATTCTGGATGCCGAATTTTGAACATACTGGAGTTTGTTCAATGTGAATTAAGAAACCCCAGAGAGTAGAATGTTACAGTAGTCAATACCGTCCTCACTAGTATGAACACAGGATAAAAAAAAAATTTAGGCCATTCCACTTATCACATCAGAATGTGACATTTTTCTCTCTTCTTTTAGTGATTGGAACACTGCATCAGGTAGTTTCCCGTGTATACTCCTAAGTGGCCAGACAGCTAGTTCTGTACACTAATATTTCTTTGTGTATAAGAAAGCTCAATGCTGGTGCCACATATTGCCTGTGCTCTTTTTTCTGGTAAATGCCAGTTTGATTTTTTTCCCCCCCAAAAAAGATAAATCAGTAATTCTCCCCCCACATCCCTCAAAACCATATCGTATCTCTTGCTGCAGTGCAGGGACCCCTTGGACATGAATGATAACAGGAGAAATGTCATGCGTTTGAGTGAAGCCATGGGCAACCTGACTGTTGTCCTAAAAGGCGAAGAAGATATCATATCTGATGGAGACAAAGGTGAGACTTCTGAAGCTTGCGGTGAAATAACAGTAGTGCCCCAAACGGATAGATATATAAAACTATTACTCTCGCGGTATAAAATGGAGAAGGTAAATCACCACACGCACCGAATTTCACAGAGGTTGCTCTGTGGCTGGAAGGTTGCTGGTTCATATCCCGTGGCCTCAGAGGAATCCTACTCCGTTAGGCCCCTGACCAAGGCCCTTAACCCCAACTGCTCCAGGGGCGCCGTATAAATGGCTGACCCTGAGCTCTGAACCCAGGCTTCTCTCCCTGTCTGTGTGTCTCATGGAGAGCAAGTTGGGGTATGTGAAAAGACAAATTCCTTATAAAAGAAATTGTATATGGCCAATAAAGTGATCTCTCTCTCTCTTAAATTCTTAGATGATGGCTGTCGTCTGCCCTCAGAATCCTCTCGGTTAAATCACTCGCCCACAGCTGTTTTTCATAAGCTGCACTGATGTCTGATCGTTTCACCCTTCTGCCACTTTCCTCAGTGGTGACGTGCAGCCATGAAGGCAGCAGCCGCAGATGCGGAGGACAGGGGGACCTCCTGTCCGGCTCCCTCGGAGCGCTGGCTCACTGGGCGTACACGTCGCCGCCTGAGAAAAGACACGGGTAAGACACCTGCGAAGATGCCCTCTGGACCCGCCCCACCGCCCGTAACAGTATTGCAAACTTGTTTCTGAGACACAGACCTGACTAAACACTTGGGTAAGACCATCTGTGAGAACGTCGGTCCTTCGTAATCACTTTCCTGCTCATTCGGTATGAATCTGGTTAGCATCAGTTTCCTGAAATTGCGCTATTACATTGTGCAGGAAGGCTGCTTGAATTCTATGTTGGGTAACAAGCTAAATTACAGCCACGAATATATTCAACTAAAGTTCATCTGAATGGATGTTTTATCCAGGATATTTTCGTTCATCTTACCATTATTCACGGTGATGTTTTTTTGAATGATTAGATGTTTCTGAATAACATTTTTCCATTTTTCTTAAGACTTTGTTCTTTATAAATTATACTAATTTGTAATTAATACCTTGTATTTTACATTGAATCACCTCAAATTTTACCCCACATGTAGTGCAGTATATATCTTTACATAATTATATACTGTATATAATAGTATGTAAACACACACTATACTGTAGTTCAGGTGGGTAGCTGTGTCAGCATGCGTAGGCTGCAAAGGAACAAACACACCTGAAGAAGGCTCCACGGCCGAAACGTTGTGTTCTCTTTCTTCTTTTTTTCAGCATGGAATAAACCTATTACTTGTTCCTTTGCACACTATACTGTATAACAGTTTCTAAAGATTGTAGTACCTGGTATTACAGATTTTACCATAATTTACAGTATGACGGGCCTCCAACATTGAAACATGTTGCTCTAATGTCAAAGGACTTGCACATAAGATTTGGGTGATGGGCAGCCATTGTAGCCTTTTTACCGATCAAGCACACTTCTCGACTCCAGAGATTTATTAACTAACTGGCTTTTTAACCGCTGCATCATAAACTTCCTTTCTCTGCGATGTCGCAACAACAGAATTCCAGCTCAGGTTGTATTTTTTCTACTATATACACTTTCATTCACACTGTGTAACTACTGCTGGAACGACTTCTTTGTAGCTTTTAAAGGTGAAGTGTGCCAAACCTGTTTTCGGCCTACTGCAAAATGTTTTGAATTTCACGCAATGTTTTGAATGCTTATGTTGTTCAGGCGCACGAAAAATCGCCCCCGTACGTGACAGTTTTATTTCTGTTCCTCTCTTGCAGGATCAAACCCTCACTCATTGCTGCGTTTGGGGCCTGTAGTCTTACACGCCAGTGCAACTACCAGGCTTTCCACAGACATGGCCGAGCAACGACCACCACAGATATGATCGCAGAAATCGGCACAGCTTTTAAAAAACTCTTTGAAAGTTAAAGCCGAGCAGGTTGCAGGAAAAGACAAAGGTCACCAGCCTTCTTCGCCTACTGTAGTAAAGTAAGCCGTTTCAGGTTCAACACTTTCTCAAGTGCAGCAGCAATCTTAATGAGCTGTTCTGAAGTCATAAACATTTAAAAGCCCCTTTAGCAATAGACTTTCTAAACAGTAAGAAAGTAACTTCTTAAGTACATGGAGAACTGCAAAGGTTATTTCATGACAAAATTTGAATTGCATTAACTATTCTTGTGTTAATACACTTCCTTCCTGCTGGAGTTTCCACTGTGAAACTGAGGCTTAAGAGAATTTTCACAGTAAAAATATACTTGCATTTTTTTGTTGCAAATCACTGTGATGTAGCATTTTGACATTTGAAGAGATTAATGTTTCTGTAATTTTCTACAGATAACTCGGGATTGTTATGGAATTACAAACTATTTTCTCCAATTCATATTCCTTATCATTAAGAGTTTAGTGTTTATCCCTAAGAAAAAAACAGCTGTATTTCATTCCACAGCTTAAAGCTCAATATCTATTTTCCTATTTAAATAAATTGCACAAGGCAGATTATTCTGTATATTTCAGCCCTTTCTCTCTCCTGTACAGAGGTAAGAGTAGGCAAGCTCTTAAAAGTCATTATCATTCACTAAACCAGAGCTCCTCTACAACACCACCCCCTACAAATGCTGTAAATGTGCAAATGGAGTTACGCCAGCTGTGTTTTAAAAATACACTGCTCCTTTCTTAAGCAGCAATACCACTCAAGTCTTCCTCACCAGAAAGTATACTCAAATTGATGGACAGCACAAGTCTTGTGAAAAGATAAATAGTTCTTCCCAATCCTGAAGAATGCAAGACTTGAGACTATCCAGGCCTGACAATCAGTCTCTGCAACAGAAGTTTGCACTTCGGGTCTTGGAGAGTAACAGCACAGTAGGTAATCTAAAACCTACTGTGGTCAAAAGGTTGGAAACAGTGATAATTTAGGCCACTGCAGTCAGCAGTTTAGTCATCCAGGGATGAGGTGAACCGAAGAAGACCCAGGGCTCTCTTGGAGTGATTGACTACTCCAAAACCTTTGCAGTTTTCCTTCAAGTGAATTTAGAAAAGAATGTAACTGAAGTACTGTAGCATTATGTAACACTTAATTTTGCCCGTTTTTGTTAACTTCCCATAACCCGAGCAAAATAAAACAATTTTGAAAAGCCTGTTTCCCGAAGTCTCAACATCATAGTCGACAGTGTGCGTACAACATTTTTAATTTTGAAATTTAAGTATGCACTGAAGGTTTCTGTTTGTGCTAAGAAGTTTAAAGCATTCACCCGCATGCATTTTCTGGGATATCTATCTCATGTCAGATGAAATTACATGTACAAAGTACACACTTCTGGAAAGAAAATATTAACTAGGAATTTAGGTAAAGTGTCATCTTTATCATTTTAAAAAGAACACTTATAGTATGTGAATATTAAGGTTCTTCCCTTTTATTGTTTAAGTGCTTTGAGAAGCCACCTTTAAAGGCGCTATATAAAATAGTTTATTATTATTTATGTATACCAGTTCACTCAATTGAAGATGGCATGAGTACACCTGTATAACCTGTGTGACCTGAATAATACACTATGCCTCTGTAACTTGTTTTGACAGAAAGAAATCCTATATGGTGAAAGAAGTTACATGCTTTGCTATTATAAAAATACATTATGAAATTAGTAGTAGCTTCTATTACATTTAAATGCAACAGTATTGTTCATCATACATTTAATACAAGTTCACAAAATGTAAATGCTATATATAGTAAGAATGTTAATGTTCAAGTAATATACATAAAATAGTAATTAAAATAAGGTAGTCAGATTACTGACTTTACATAAAATGAGTTTTAAAATTAAATGTATGTTTTATAATTATATAATAACATCTTTATATTAGCAAAGATTATATTTAAATGCTTTTCCCTAGGAAAAACAAAGCATGGATTAAAACAGTTTATCCAGTGCACATTATTTTTCAAGTACTTTTTTTTTTGTTAGAATCTCCAATTATTCAAAAATGGCAAATTGTTTTTTACACAGAAGAGAATGAGGACATGCACTTCGCCAACACATTGTCTCTTGAGACACTCATCTGTTAATACATCACAGGTACTCAGCCCCATGTCAGAGGTTCATCACAGACAGGCAGAGAGGCTTGTCTACCTGTTGGACTGAGAGCCCATGAGGGCTGTAGGGATCAAAAGGGCTGCTGAATGATCCCACCATACCCTCAGCCCCCATTACAGTCTGCTAATTATGGAAATTACAACGCCTCATGGAAGTGAACTGTTGCTTGTGCCTTAATAATTTTAGGTGGAGGTTTTTCAGAGAAGCTGCCCATGTCTTACGACTACTGCTGTTGACGTCTTCCCAGGGAACAACAAAATAAAAAGGTCTTCAGTTAGAAAATGTGCTCCACATCAGTTTACACCCAAGGGCCCATCGATGCAGCTTTTCCCTCCATGATGGCCAGTTCACATCTCGCATCTCCCCAGTCTGCTTACGTGAAATTTCTAGAACTGGAAACAAAGCTGCTGAGCCGTCTACTCATTTAAGAAAGGTTACAGATCAGCCCATGGGGTGGTTGTTAATCTCCTCTGGTCGTTTCTTGCATGAAACCAGGGTATCTGCTTCAGCAACATGGCTACATGCTGCGCACATTCCATACACTCACAACGGTAGAAGTAAAAATTGCTTCTCCACCTCTCCACTCTGTACTGGCAGTGCACTTCCACAGAGCTTGCACTAGTGCTTATGTTTTGCTCCAGAAAATGAACTTGAGTCAAAATTCTCTCCCAGACACAAGGCTATGAAGATGCCACTGATGCTCCCAAGTCGGATAACTCCATACACCTTGAACTGACAGGTGAAGATACAGTATCTCCAAATTCAACATAGTCAAACACCTCTGAAGAAGTTTGATCTGCTTTTGCATTTTTCCCTTTTTTGATCGGGGAGTTCCTTACATTTTTTTGGGGATGAGCCATCCTGCCTTCGTATTTTTAAACGCAATTAGACGAAAAAAAGTGCTATCATTTTATTGATCATCCCCAAAACCCTTCAAAAGAGTGATTCAGAAATTTTGCCCACAATACTGTCAAATGAAATAAATTAAAAATAAATATTTCAGCAGATATTTAACGTGAAGGTAAAACTTCTGTTCACTGTACAAGTGATACATTTGCTGTATAAACATCCAATGTACACAATACCACCACGTTAATAAATCATCTAAAGAAAAAGCTCTTACAGGTAGATTTATGAAAAATGAAACTTGAAAATGAAAGTGAAGTTGCTGTTTGTACTTTTTAAAGTATCTTGTTATTGTAATTTTATAAATGTTGCTTCCCTGCTTCATCAACATGAAAATGCACTTATGTGAAAAGTTAACTAATCATATACTGTATGAGGTGCTAGGACTGCGAAAGTTAAAGTCATACATACATTCCTGTTGCTGTAAGTTTAATGTTAACACTGTGGCAGACAAGTTTATAACTGCTGAACAAAACCAGAAGTATCTAAATGGTGAATAGCACTACTCTGATATTATTGTGGAGTCTCATCTTTGTTCAACTCTTCTCTCTTGTCTGTCATCTCCCATGTTGAATTGTTACCTCTGTCCTGAAAAAAAACCAACAGAAATATGTTAGGAGTAACATGAATATTTTATATCTTATGTTTTACTTGGCAAATCTAGCCAGATTTGTGAAACTGAATAATTCAATTTTCCTAATCTCGCTAATGAACTGCATGAACTTTAGGGTTCATAACCGAAAAAAAACCAAATAAATATCAGCTCCAAGGAGATTTGTTTTTACAAGCTGGAAAAGGAGACACACTTATGCAATCTTATAAATATAAAGACAAATACAGAAGTTGCATTTCATATGGACCGACCAAACAGAACAGTTTCTCACTAGGTGTCACTGTGAGTCAAGCCATCTCAAACAGATTTGTCTAGTTAAATCATTTGTCTTTCACTAAAATGAGGAACTTCAGTCTAGATCAGCACTTGAACAACAATACCCGGATGCAACGACACACCCTCTCCTTCCTTAAAAAGATCACCCACTTCAGATTAATGTTTTCCAACCTATACTGAGCCCCTGTGGAAAAAAAAGCCATTATAATACATTATCAAGAACATTTATTTGGGGAGTGTTACAAGCGTTCATTATTAGCCCAACCCTTTCCCTACAATTATCTTTGCTAATATGACATGCTGTTGATTATCCAAAAAGAAAACACCATTGTACATTCAACCGGTTTGAGATGAAACAACCTGTAAATGTACAGTAGTACCTGTAGTACACTGTAAGGGGCTACAAAGCACCACCACATCTTCGGCAGCACAAAATGACACCACTCAATTTGTAAAACAAGTTGCAGTCACCTCAGTGGAGTGACAGTCCTGATGTCTCACAGCTCTTGGCTCCTGGGTTCAAAAGTAGATGTGGTACATTTCATGTGAAATCTGCATGTTTTATTTTTCTCTGGTTGTTCCTACTTTCTCCCACATCCCACCTGTCTAAGTATGTCTCTAAACTTTCCCTCTGTGTCTGTACTGGAGGCAACAGACTGGAACCCTTTCCAGGATGTACTTACACCTTGCACTGGCTTTGCTGCAAGAACCTGCTTCATGCTACAGTGATCATTACCAGGAATAAGCAGCTTTGCTTTGGCTACAATTAAACAAAACATTGAAGTGTACACACAACACAAATTATAAGCAATGTAATTCATCAAGGCTAGTGGAAATGCAGAGGAGCGCATCCATATCTCAGAGAAAATAACTTAATTAATTTAATCAATTAATCACTATCAAACATCTCTTCATTTCTCTAGATTCTCTTCTCTTTAAAATAATTCCTCAGGATTCCTTGAAGTACACTTTTCTTACTTAAACTGGTGAGAGGTACAAAACCTTACTCCAAGAAACAATGTGTGAGTGACGTAGCAATTTTGTCCACTATGAGCTATATGGTGGACAGCGGTATATTGTACAGAGTACTATATTCTATGTACGACATACTACATACAATATAGTCATATACAACAGTACACAGTTTTGAAGTTTGATATATTTTGTTGATTCATCCAAAAAGCGAATTTCTAAAAGGCACCAACTCATAATAGATGTTTGGGTAACAGTTTATGGCCTGAAAATGCCATTTAGAAACATTTTATAAGTGAGCTATATTACTGAAGTCTTAATAGAGTGACAAATGAAATAAATGACTCCATGGATTCTTGTAAAAGAAGCTTATTACATCTATAGTGCTTTACAAGTGTATTAACAGTTTGCACAGTATAAGATACTAATCTGCAGACAACTTAAGAAACACTGACCTTTATTAGAATTCCCAGAGGGGCAAGATCATCCCGAAGGTCATCGCAGGCCCTCAGAAGTGGCTGTCGTTCTTCTAGAAGTTTCCGCCTGCGCTGCTTTATCTTGGCTTTCTCCTCCTCTGATGGTGGGCTGTTCTCCAACACCGGGGGCAGCTCATCTGTAGCCAGAGCATACCTACGAACGTGGCTGCGAAACTTGACTAGTTCGTCAACAACATTATGTAGGGCAACAGATGACGGTCCTCTTGGTATTCGCTGGGGAAAACAGAAACGCAACAAAGGGACTACAATTTAAATCCTCCCAAAATGCAGAAATGGCAGTCCTTTAGATCACAACAACAGTATGTAATACATAAATTTGCTTTCTTAAAAATGTAGTCTATATTCTCGGTGTAACTCAGCCTCTGGTCAATATGTGTTCCCAGATAATTAAAACTCTCCGCATCCTCTGCAGACTGACCATTAAGTACTACTGTCTGCAAAGACTGCCCACTCTTGGTTCTATCATTGAAAATAAGCTCTTTTATCTCGGTCACATTTATTTCCAATGAGCTTGACTGGCGGCACCAGTTTTCAATGATACTGATGTGTTCAAAGTAAGCTTGCTTACGTTGGTCCTTTAAACAGAGTCCCACAACAACCATGTCATCATGTCATTATTTTCTAATAATTTTCTGTTAAAATAATGACGTCAACCATCTCATTATTTTCTATAAGACACAAATATTTACATTCTAAATGCCTTATCCTTATGGATGTATTTTTTATGTAGGAATAGGTTGTGTGGCAAATATGAAACCAAAGCTTTTTATGAATACATACAATAAATGAAGAAAGTGATAATTAACTCTGTTAGTGCATGCTGACCTTTGTGTCTGCAATGTCAACCCCAACTACATCCAGGAATCCCCTGATGTATGACTGGATAGCTCCAAACACTGCTGGACTTCGAGAAGATCCACTTCCCTATCCAAAACACACAAAATAAGGTGGGAAAAAAAACAAACATTTTCAATACAGCAGACCAATAAAAGCAAAGCTTAACACTGTAATTAAATCTTCACATGTAAGTTCAGACTCAACCACCTACTTGCAGCCTTTATTTACCAGATTGGACTTGAAACAATGTTAAAAACAGTGCCAATAGTGTATGGGACTCAGTAATACTGTACAGTTTTGTCTTGGTTTTTGTATATAAGGCAAGACAGCTGCCATTTTCTGAGCTTGCTATCCTAATAGGTTACCTCGGTAACAGCCTGAAGCTGCTGGTTGCCATGGTGAATGAGGCTCATAATTGCATCAACAGCCCTTGGGGTGTCAAAGTCATCTGACAGTGCTGTCTGCACATTCACTTTTGTTGTGGCTAACCTAGAATGGAAAGCATATTATTTTTTAAACAAAATATCATTATATAGCATTTACAGTTGCAGTCAAATGTTCTGAAACTCCTGTTATATAAAACCATTGTTGATATAATAGAATTAATTCTGAATAAGACTCAAGCATTGTTCAAAAACACTTTTCAAACCGTTGTTAAAACAAAATGAAAAAACATTCTGCGTTTAAAATTCACAACCCCTTACACTATCTTGTGCAACATCCACAGACAGACAAACGGATACATGCAAAATGTGATCAATGATCACTGACTCAAACAATCAACATTTCCCTCATGCTTACTGCAACAACTTTAGTAGAAAAATAAATAAAAACAGTGACTGCTCGACAGTGGAAGAACTGCACAAGAAAAGTCAGCGTGCTGCACATATACCATTAAAGCTGATCAGGGCAGGGTCTTTCATGGAAGGTATGATCACGCTTCATTCACACCCTGCTGATGCTGATACCGTACAACTGTCCAACATCAGCAAAAGAGCAACACTGGCATTTATAAAAGGCAACTCTGCAACTATGTGGTAGTCAGTCAAATGCAGTGAAAATATAACAATATTTTCAGTGATTGAAATTGCACAAAATGTGTTCTTCCGCCCGTTCTTTAAATCTTCTTTAAAAAAAGTTTTAACTCCACTTCTGTAGCCCCACTGCATAAGTTAATGGGTGAATGCTAAGATGGCAAAACATTTTCCTGCAGAGGACCAGGTGCCTACAACCCTGATGAATCTTCCCCTTTCCAGATTTTAGAAATCAAGTCAGTGCTAACATGGTAACCTAATGCACCCCCTCATTCACACTGCTGAAGAGTTATGGGCTGTTTCATTGGGGTAACAATGTCCCGTTGTGTATTGCATGTCCTGTATGTATTATAGTGTAAGTCATCAAGAACACTAGTGTCAAAAGTTAGTCATTTGTATGATATTCCTTATTGACATGTATTCTGTAAATTTACCAAACAAATGGAAATGAACAAAGTATGTGGTGCCTTCTAACAACTCAAACTGTTCCCCCAGGCTACTAAGGAAGTCAGCTGAACATAATACATAATACAAACACCTAAGTGCAAAAACATACCCAAAATACTTCTTTCCTGTTTTAAATACAGCACTCAAGGACAACTGCAATAAATGCCTCTCAGTAAGATAAATATCCAGTCAGGTTTTTAAATGTTATGAAATTCAAACAATTATGCTTTTTAACAATTTTGTGTATGTTACAATTTAAACTGACCTGAATATTGATACTGGTACTATAATCATTCAAGAGCTTGCTGCAGAGCTGTTCTGTGTAGGTGTACTAAACCCATCATATACAATTCACATTTAAAAATGCAATGCAGTCTCCTTGGTATGTCTCTCATGTTATCCTATATATTTAGATAGGTGTCAGTGAACAAAGACACTTTCTGATTCAGAACCTTAGTCTTCCCATCCTGAAACTTTGCATCAAAATTAGCCTGAATACAAGCTATTGTAAATTAATCAACATAAATAAGTGTTGACATCAGAATTGCTAACAAAAGAGACAAATTAATGTGCTTTTTGACTGAAAAGTTATTTTTCAAATTATTTTTATGAGCATTAGAGGATGTACCAGACAATTAAGGAAACAGGAAAAAATAAAGTAAAAAAATCACTGACTATAAGAAATAATTTTGACCTCCCGGTTTCTAGAAAGATTGCTGGATATGTCTCTAATTACTGTAATAAAATCTCAGTGAGATGAGTACACAGTCATGCAAATCTGGGGATTTAATTTAAACACCTTAAATAATATTTAGAACTATCCACCACTTAGGTCAAATAGTTCAGTGCTCTGTAAACTGTATAATTAAAAATAATTTGCAATAATCCTTTAGGTATCGGATACTAATGGTAAACCTTCTTCTAACAACTGTTTCAAGATATTACTAGTTTCCTATATTTTCTCTTTAAAAAACTAGGCAGCTACACACAGCAGAAATTTCTCATCAAATGCATCATTCCTTTAAGGATAAAGTGATTGCCCTTGTGTGAGAACTATATACGTCTGCATTTACTTTCAGGCCTTGTCTCAGTTCTGTAAATATACAGTACCACTACATCTTCTGTTTTAATGCTAGACCTTCTGAAAGTACTGTAGAAAACAGGAAAAAAAGCAAAGATATTGTACATGTCTTTCCACACCATAATATTAAGCAATTAAGACAATTAACAGTAGTCTTTAAATAAAACAGTAAATATTTTTCTCTGTCAAAATCCGAATCCGAATTTATGGTCAATATTCTGAGTCTTCCTACCTTTCCCATAAAAGGCCTTCGTCCACAGCCTGGCTTAGCAGATAGCCTTTAATGTAAGCATCCGCATAGCTGAAAAAGGTGTTGATGGAGAACAGAACACTCTTTGCTTCATTCATGCTGGCAGTGCTGTAGTCAATAGCTGGAAAGCACAATTTGCATAGAGGAATATGTATAGTAGAATAGCACACAAAAGTGTATCCACATTTCAATCATAAAAAGTGTCTGACTCATAACCATACCTGATCTATACTTTGTTAAGAGGCAAAACATTCTGAATTCATTCGCTGTAAATGACTGCAAAAAATCCTGAGAGGAGAAGAATAGATCACACAAAAAAGAACTCTACATACAACACATACTGTAGAATTAAGACCATAGGCAAAAAATAATCTAATAAGATCTGACTTTTTCTGCTAAGCACAGCTAAAACTTAATAAAAACAGCAGGTAATAAAAATATGAGGTAAAAGTTCCTGCTACGTTTCAGAAACCTGACTGTATTCTTTTTAAAAGCATCACACTTGCCTTCTCAGAATGGTCACAAAAATCTTCAACTGCATAATGGAGTCTAGAATGTTAATACAAATTCTCAAAAGAAATACAAATTTAAGATTATTCTACACATTAAATTTAAGGTTTATCCTTCACAACAATGTTCAGCAGTGAAAAAATCCACACATCAAAGAAAGAATTTTTGCAGTTAAAAATAATAAATACCCCAACATTTACTTGCCAACAATTTATTAAATGTAATTAGTCGAAAACGTTAATAAAGAATAATGATTAACTGATAAAAAAGAGTGTTCATAATAGTGTATTATAATCAATTCAATAATTGCACACTAGGGGGCGCGCTACACACACCTTTATTGTAATGTAGTTTTTTAATGACTTGGACATCTTCTCTGCACTTCCCTTCAAATGCAAATGTCCTGTTCACAAAGAATTAAAACAAAACACCCAGTAAGACTCTAAAAATTAGTCTGCTACTATAAAAAACATTAAATAGGTAAATATTCTTATCAACAATAATATCAACAAGTTACAAGGATATGTAACTTTAAAACTAAACACTTGTTTAAAACTAAACTCAAAATATTAAAATTTAGAAATGTTTCATATTCAAGTTCTGGAACAATATATGAACACAAAGCTAAAAATGGGGAAAAAAAGCTTTCATATACTGGAAGTAACATTAAAATGATCTTCTACAACAAAAGAAACAAGTTTAGGACAAAGGAAATGTCTGAAATTTAGGATGTCTGAAACATTTGGCTATAGTTCTTAGACTAATTAGAAGTTGTTCTAATTACTCAGTCCCCCATTTCCCCCAGTCCATCATTTGAACTAAGGATA